TTGTTTATTTTATGGATTAAGTTTGTTTATTGGTTTGGAGCTTAGGCCCCGGCTATGGCCGTGCTCTGAAGAGATCTGCGCCTGGGTGCAGATCATGATCCCCCGGGGCCTAGACACTGGTGGTAGCAACAAGGCAAGGTGAATGTGAGAGTGAAGAAATCCTGAGGCGGAGGTGGGGAGGAGGTGGTTGTAGCTTGAAGTCCGTTTGGTGAGCTGTGCTCTGCTTTGCTCTTAAACGCTGGCTTGATTGACACGGCTGCGGGGAGTAGATTAAGACAGGCTGAGTAAGGCGTGGTCAAGCCTGGTGTGATAACGTAGGTAGTCTACCATCCTGAACCTCCGCTTCAGCTGCATCAGTGAATGAGCTCGCCTCTCAGCAGATCAGACTTGTAACCTATAGCAACAATGACATTGTCTGACAAAGAAGTAACCTGCTCTAACATTCAAGGCTGAGAGCTCCACTGCCACAGAGATGCTTTCTGTCCTTGTGTCCTTGAGCACGCACACTACAATCCCATTCTGTGCTGGATGTTGCAACAAACTGTCCCCACAAAAGAAAAAAGTATTGTTTTACACTTTCACAATCTCCTGGACACAGCACTGATTTCTTGTTGAGAAAATAAACTCTGGAATTTGGGATCACAAGCCAGCACCTCTTCCTGATGAACTTTGATCCCAGTGGACACGTTTTCCTGTTTTTTCTTCTTCCCATCTCTGCAGTAACACCATAGACAAACAGCAGAGAGGACAAGGCTATTTATAACATATAATTGTAATATTTCTGACCAACATTGCGATATGATTTTTGATATCCTGTATGTTTAAAAGATTCTCTGTTACCTTTTTAATTACCAAATTTTAACCCAAAAAACCAACTTTTATTCTTGTTCTCTTGAGCTCAGAGTTTTTTTAATCCACTTAAACCATGGGCAAAACACTCACACACACTCCTAACATGTAATATATATACGTCTTAGCAACGGTTGCCATGACCAAAATGACGACGCACACGGAGGAGAAAAAGCAAAAATGTAATTATCCACACTATCGGTTAACTGTTTGTGCGTTTGTGTGTTGCTATGGAAACACCTCAAGCGGACTGATATGGAACCTGTAATTTAACATGAGGTTAAAAAAAAAAAAGAAAAACAGCATTAGAATCCTCACTGACCATAGTATACTTACATATAAATGATAGAATTCTCTTTTGACTGAAGTTGGGCAACACATTTTGGTAGTTTACTACAATTACGAAAAAAAGTACAAAAATATACACAAATCAAGGGTAACATTTATTCAGTGATTTCTCTGCTTATCTCTTTCTTGTTTTTCTAAATCATTTCAGTTTTTGAGATTGGCAAATTGCGACAATGTCTCCAGTCTCACAGGAAACAATTAAGATTCCAAGTTTCTCATAAGCATCTTTCATAACTTCCATAACAGAGACCAGGGCAGAATTATGATATACAGCTGCTAACAACAACTAACATGCAAACAGTGCACTTCCTGATTCCCAAATCAAACAGTTTTTATTTACTCCGGTTTAAAGATCAGCCTTCATCATGCTTTATGAAGGCTGTAAATAGTGCAGTTATTTGTTTTATTTTTTTATGAATTACTGAGAACTCGTTTTCTAACGCAAAAGAGAACGCACGGGGCCAGTTTCCCAGAAGCTCTTTGAAACATGTGCTATTATTGTTGTTGCGCACTTCCCTTACTTTAATCATTCATTCATCGAGGTTTGGACTCGGTCTTGTATTTAAACTACCGTTGTGGAGTCCATTGCTTCCTGTGAGATTGGGGACTTTTCCTGGGAAAGTCCAAGATGATCATTTCTGGGCACATCCGCCGGGGTGGAAGAATAGGGAAAGCTGTTGTACAAAAAGGTTAAAGTTTATTGGACGATTTGAAAAGTCAGCACATTCTTCATGATGGTGGCAACAGTGTGGAAATATATATGTTTTTGAGGGAGTTAGTTTGAACGGATTGGTTTTTAAGTGCTAGCCTAAGCATTGAGCTGGGACTTAACCAACCAACATTTATAATGTATTTTTTTTACTTTCAGCTTAAAGTTTGAGCCCCAACTTTTGTCATCATAAATCATATATTTTGTTTGTTCCAACAGACAGTTTTGTGAAATTCTAATTTTGTGAACAGTACAATTCAATTTATTCTTGTATAGCCCTAAATCGCAACAGTAGTCATCATGGAGGACTTTACAAAACCATTGAATTCGCCAACACAGATCAGAGAATGAAAAAGTTAAAACACAGGAAAAGGTCCATAAGGGGCAGATGACCACTGTCTATAATTGTTGATAAAAGGCAATAAATGGTGTGGAATGTCGAGTATCCTGGACCATCACCTCTGTCCTTGGACCCTCCTGCATCGGAAAAACTCTAAAAACCCAGTGGAAGGAAAGTGAGAAACCTCGGGGAGGCCCACACTGAGAGAGGGCACCGCTCACACCGACAGACGAGCTATAGATCCAGGACTCAGACTGTAGAACGAGGACCGAGGCCAAGCGATGCAAGAAAACAACACTCTCATTCTCATTATTATCGCCCTGTATGTTCCCCCTGTACTGTAGGTTTCCTCTGGGTGCTCCGGTTTGCCTTCCCTCCCCCTAAGTTTAAGTAATAATACAAAATAAACATACTCTTTTGTTGCATACTTGTGAAAAAGAGCCCTGTGAGTTACTATTTGAAGCTTTGGGCTGAGAGATGTTTGGCTGACCAAGAGTTTTCACTTTTCTGTTTAAAGATATGAAAGAGGTCAAAATACTAACGCATGTCAAAACTACAATGATAGAACCATTTTAGAGCCAGGGATTGTACTACATAGTTCCAGGTTTAGTGGTTTGAAAGTTATGTACCCTAGCTTTTAAGTAAATCACTTCCTTTTTTCATTTATGACAAAAACAAACATTTGCTGGCATTGGCCCACTTAGCTTTTTCATTCCTGTCTTTTGGTGAAGTCTTCTTGTTAGCATCCATTATTTATACGATTGTGCAGCCTTGGTCGTGTTGTGAAATTTGTATTTGGTTTCAGCCAAAAATAACTGGATTTCCAAACGGGAGGATAGGAGGACGCTGTGTGAGGCCAACGATTTCCCCACAGTACAATGAGATTCGACCTTTAATTGAAAACAGACATCAATCTTTCTCCTCGCTCATATGAAACCACCATTGTACTCAAAAGCCTTGGGAACGCCACACAAGAGAATACACTCATTACTGCTGCTTCAATCTATGCTACTGCAACTAATACTACTACTACTACCACTACTACTACTATTTATTAATGGTACTACCACTACCATTACCACTACTATTACTACTGCATCTGTTGATACTTCTACTACTTCCGCTACCGCTATGCCCCAGGGCAGCTGTGGGTGTCTATGAGTGTCCTGAAAACTTCCCTTCATTCCCTTACAGCTGAGGTATTAACGTTCGAGCCATGATGGAACTAATATAATCCATATCCAATCTCTCAAAGTGTATTTTATTTTTTAAAGTTTAGAGTTGTGCTGTACTAATATTCACTTATCTTGTGATGCTTGCTCCTCATTCCTACTGTTCTGTAACTTGTGATCCACCACTGACATAGCCCCACTGTGGGACAAGAAAGGATCTCTTCATCTTCATCTTCATCTTTAATCTTAGTTTTCCCAGGCGTTTATGTTTGGCCTTTGTCACATGTTTAGATCAGCTTTTACAGACAATAGCTCAGTTGGTAGAGCATTGGGCTTTGAGCCAGAGGGTTGTGGGTTCGAGCCTGACCTTCACCATCGACTCCCACTATCTACTGTCGTTGTGTCTTTAGGCAAGAGATTTCACCCCCATTGCCTAGAATGAGTCTGGTGTGTGTGAATGGTTGGTGGTGGTCGGAGGGGCCGATGGCACATACTGGTTGCCTCGCTTCTGTCAGTGTGCCCCAGGGCAGCTGTGGCTACAGTAGTTTATCACCACCGTGTTTGGAGTGAAAGAATAATGACATGTAAAGCGTCTTTGAGTGTCCAGAAAAGTGCTATTTAAAACCGATGCATTATTATTATTATAAAATGTAGTGAATATTATTATTATCATTACTATTGGGATGATTATAGAAACATAATAAGAACATTTTAATTTAACTTAGGCGAATAGTATTAATAGTATATTATAATGGGTCCAAATGGTTTGGCATTATTCAATTTAACCACAGGACCATTGTGCAGATGGGTGAAGCTGTTTCCATGCATTAAAGCTGAGGTCCCTTAATTTCAAACCACAAACAAAAGAATGTAGTCATTTATACATTTACCTATTTCCTGGCTTAAAACAGTTTAGCTTTATCAATATTGTTCACATGTATTCTTAGCCTCTGTCACGTGTTTTTCAGACAGAACAGTTAAAAAGAGGGGACCCAGCCAATCAGCGCTCACCCTAAAGCGTCAACAAGAGACTCGCGGAGATTCTTCTTACAAATACGCAACTTTTTTTCTTCTAAAATAAGCAACAAAAAAAAGCAGTATATCGTTATATATATCGAACGTATGATGCGTTCTCAACTTTACCTGTTGGGACGAACAGTGTGTGGTGAAACAAAAAGTTACCACACAAAAAGTTAGGTACACCAGCTTTAAGTTGTATCCTACACACAAGCTCAAGGGACATGCGTATCTGAGTGACATAAAATATCCATTTGCAAAGATAAAACCAGGCAGATAGATAGACACAGAGTGCATAAAGTCATTTTCCACTCATGCACCAGAGACTTTTACATTGTTTGAACAAGATAAATAGACGTATCCAGGCACTTCTGCAAGCATCGCAAACACCTCAGCCTCAATAATGTTCTAATAAGTCAGTGATACATGTTGATAAATCCACGCGTAAATGTGCCAACTCTAATTCGAGTCTCTATAAACACAGGCTGTCACTCGCTCCAGATGGGAAAGATCTTCAGCCATGTTGTTGACAGCGCAAAACATAACTCAGGTAATAACCACGTACCTACAAAGACGCAGAGAATATCCACCACCACCAGAAGCACTTTCTTCCCTTGTTCCGTCATGTCTCCACCAGCGCTGCGCCTCTGGCATAAATGGACTTTGGAGAGGCGATAGAGGAGCGCGCACGGCACAGGTTTAGGATCAGGGGCGATCAGCGGCGCTTTCTGTGGCTGGGACTAGATCTGCTTGTTCTTCCGGCTCTGCACCTCTGCCCAGCTTTGCACCTGATGCACTGAGCCAGGTGAGCGGCAGGGGACGCGATTACGCACGGTGTGGAGGAGCCCTGCCTCTTGTACGTGTGTGTGGGGGGGGCCAGGGCGCGCCTTCCCCCCAGCTCTATAATAAAGCTGGGGTATATAAGTTTTTGTCCTAAGAGAAAGTCTCGAGAAAGTATACATTTATGGTCAAAATAAATCTTGTTGGAAAAGTTTTACATCATGCACAAGAGTGATTTTTTTTCATTGGACTCAAACGTAAAAAACCCCAAAAACTTTGAGTCACTGTTTGAGGCTTTGGGATGCGAGGTGATCATGGCTGAGAGAGGGTGGTTCTATTTTTTATTTGTCTGTATGATGTGAAAAAGGCCAAGACTATGCATGTGAAAAGCGGTGATAAAACTTTTTTGAGAGCAATAGATCATATTGCTATCATACAAAATCTATGATAGCAAATTTTTTTTCACTCCCCCGACCCAGAAATGGACTAACAAAGCGGTTGAAAATTATATATAGAAAATGAAGTACCCTAACTTTGATATAGGAGGCCTACACCAAAGTTCAAACGTTTGGATGGTTGGATGGACGTTGTGGGTGCGGGAAAAAATGCACCTGAATGAGTGTAAAGCTTTCAACACAGTCACACTATTTATTTACATCCTCCCTGTTTTCCATACCAAATGTAAACTCTCAAATTGGGAATGACAATTATTTACAACTTTTATGTGGACCAAAGAAGAACACCAAAGTTGCATCACACAAAAGTGACCATAAAGTCCTGTATAGACTTGTACTGTAAAATCCTCAATGTTTTCAATGAAACATAAACACAAATAACAACAAACTCATAATAATAAACAATACAACATCATCATTCACATCACAGGTTTATCACAACGGACGTATGTTGTGGTTGTTTATCTGAAATGCAATAAATGTGTGACAGTGGGCTGTATATATTTTCCCACCAGATGATAAAAAGTTAAAACCTCCACTAAGTGCATTCTACATGTGCCTGCTTACAATCTTCATGTTTAAGTAGTGGTGTCAGAAGTTGCATTTTTATAGCAACAAACCAATAAACCATCAGTGTAACTTACTACTGCAGATATAATCACATCAATAAATTAACTTTAAGCTGCTTGTCAAGTCACTATTTCGATTCCCTCCTTGTCCCAAGTCATGTTCGAACGGCAAGTATGGGTCACATTGTATAGAACCTGGTGCCGTCATTAAATCTTTCAAAAGTGTATCAGGAATATGCAAACATGAGGAAGAAACACGGTTTCGAAATAGAGACTGGGGTTGGAGGAGAATACTTTTTGTGCTGGAGGTGCTCAGCTCACTAGCGCCCTCGAGTGGCTGTTCAACCTCCAAGTCCCCAAGACTGAGAGAGCTGTGAGGCTGCAGAGCGGATGCGAGCACTATGGAGTAAGCAGGGCATAAGTTAAAGCTAGTCTCCGCCATGTTTGTAGTCCTGTGGCTGAGATTGTACTGTTTGCATTGGAATGGGTTAAAACTCATGTCTGGATCGGACAAATCTTCGCTGTAATGCATGGACGGATCCTCATCTGATTCATCGCTGTCCATTTCTCTACCGCTGAGCAGAACCACTTCGGAATATTTCTTTTCTGGAGTGGCCAAAGTCATGCCCTGAAACAGGAAATTATAAGAATATAAAAGGGACATATAGTCAAACTGTATTGCCGTGGGTGTGGTGGGGGCTGCTGAGGTGTCACTGACAGTAAATTGAAGTGTTGCCACATGAAGGAATATTGCTAATAGATAGATAGAAAAAAATGAAACAATAATAAAATCCCCCAGAATAAAATCACCACCAGTACGGACTGAACATGGCCTGTCACTGATTGGAATGAGGTCTGTGCTGCTCTGGCTCTGCAGCTTTGGCTCCTAACTGGTGAGTTGTAGGAATAGGAGAGTTATTCTTCCTCTCACTCCTTTTCAAGTTTGATTCTGTGCCGTAGTTTGGGTTAGGGACGTACAAGTGTAAAGACTACAATCAATGTATATGTAACGCACATCAAACTCAAAATAAACAAACAATCAATGATTAGAATGAATAAAGTAACTGTTGTAACTGAAGATGTCTATAATCAAATAAAATCCAAAAATACCTGTAAATAACGTAGCAAAAGCGAAGACGATGCAGTCAGTGGTTGCAAGTACCAAACATTTTTACATTTTCCCGGGTAATTTTCACTTTCACAACATACTTTAAAGGTACTCTGAAATTTTTACAGTTTCTCCAAATGAAAAAAACTTGTTTACCAACAACAAATGTGACCTTTTTAAGAATATTTACCTCCGCCATGTTTTTGAAGTGTTGTCACAGGCTTAGAAACTGGCTTATAAATGTCCATGAGGCTGGAGGACTCTACATGTCAATGCGCCATCTTGAGATACAGTGGTTGTTAAGGGACAAAAACGAGTTTGAGCGGGAGTTGGGGACCACTGTCAAATACCACATTTGTCCTGCGAAGTTACCATAGTACCGTAAACTACAATATATGATCTCAATGCTAGATGGGAGTAAAAACTACAGTGTACCTTTAATCTGTAATTTCTACTTCTTACATTTTTGCAGATGCACAAGTATAAAAATAAAAACAGACAAGTACAAGCCAATGTTTCAAGGTCTTGAAGTGGTCTACAAGTTTGAAGTGGTTAGCTATGCAAACAAAACAGAACTCCTCATCATCAGCCCCAAATCTCTCCTGCCCTCTGTCCAGAACTTTACCCTCCTCATTGACGGTCACATTGTCACGCAACCTTGGCATCATAATGGACTCCACCCTCTCATACCAAACCCACATCAAACACATCACCAAAACCTCCTTCTTCCACCTCCGCATCATTGCCCGCCTCTGCCCCTCCCTTACCCAGTCAACAGCCGAAATCCTCATCCACGCATTCATCACCTCCAGACTCAACTACTGCAACAGCCTCCTCTACGGACTTCCCACCACCACCAAAAACTGCAATACATCCAGAACTCTGCAGCCCGCCTCCTCACCCACACCCGGTCCAGAGAACACATCACCCCTGTCCTCCAGCAGCTCCACTGGCTCCCCGTTCAATACCGCATCCATTACAAGCTCCTCCTCACCTACAAGTCCCTCCATAACCTGGCCCCGCCCTACTTTACTGAGCTCCTCCTACCAACCCACCCGCCGCCTTCGCTCAGCCAATTCCAACCTCCTCACCCCCATCACCCGAACTAACTGCCGAACCTTGGGGGACAAAGCTTTTGCCATTGCCGCCCCAACCCTCTGGAACTCACACCCACTGCCCATTAGAAACTGACTCACTATCAAACTTTAAATCAGTACTCAAAACCCATCTTTTCAAACAAGCTTTTCCGAAAACCCCTTTTTATTATTGTATTTTATTCCCCATGTGAAGCGTCTTTGAGTGTCCAAAAAAGCACTATACAAGTTTGATGTATTATTATTATTAATGTTATTGTGAATATGCAAATTGTTAATTATCATTATTCCAGCTGTTACTAGTGGGTTCAATCCATTTTGCACCACAGACAAAAATATCTAGAATATCAACTTTACACTGTACGTACACAAAGTCTTACCATCTGCTTTTTAGGCGTCCAATCGGCCAGGGTACTGTGAGATGGGTCAGGGATGTCCTTGAAAAACGTTTCTCTAATTCTAAAACATAAAGACACACAAAGCCATTAAGAACTATATACAGTAAGGATTTTAGAGACAGAACACAGCGTACGTTTTCATCCGTGGCAAACAGACCATCAGCATCAACAATAGGGAGATAAGACCAATGGGAAGAATGACGTACAATACGGGGAATTTGTCCTCAGAGTCTGCAAAAATTACAAAAATAAAAAGTCAGTGAGAAAGATGATGAAATGTCAAATGTTATATAAAAATATATTCACACCTATGTACAGACTGATGAGAGGTCCTTGCACGCCCTCCCCGGCCTCAGTGCTGGCCCGCATGTAGAACTCCCAGTGACCCGGAGACAACGACAGAAAGTAATTTTTCGCATCACCAGACAAAACCTCAACTGTGGCTGAGTGAGAAAAAAGATTATATTTGTGAATTGGATGACATTTTCTTAATTGCTTGCACTGCATCTATATTTGTAGTCACAGTTAGTGGCCTACAACATCAACGTACAGTTAGTCAATCAACCAACATACATATATTTCCTCTCTTTTTTAATAGAAAATATTTATTTGTCCCGAACAGTCCCCAAAGCTGGGGTCCCTGATCTTTTAACCACAATAAATGGAACTATGTAACAAAATCTCTGAGACTAGTCCCTCGTGCTAAAAACAGTTTGGTTCTGTCACTAGTTTTCACGTGCATGTATTTTTAAGAGAGGACCACCCTCACTCAGCCAATTGTCTAACCCAATGCATCCAATAGTGACTCCCTGGGCTCATGATTGCAAAGGTCAACATGTTTTCAAATGAATAAAAAAAAGCTTTTCGATTTTGGTTAGAATATTGGATTGAACAAAATCCAAGAGCTTAATATAATTAGTTATGTGGGCTCCAATACATTTACCACATTTTGACCTAAAAATTCATGTATGAAATAGACTGTCATGGTGTGGACTTTTTGACCTGGTTTTAGTTAGCTATATATTATGTTATGTAGTTTGAGTTTGAATCCTGCCTGTCCCATTGCTTGTTGCCCCGCCCTAATGTAATTCACCTGTGTGTCCCTGTGTGTGTATATACAGTATACCCTGTGCCCTTCCTCACTTGTTGTCCGTCCATTGTCTCAACCACGTTTGTCTTGTCTAGTTTTTTCAGTTCTGGATTTTTTTTGTCACTCTGGATTTCGATTTGATTAAATTACATTTTCAGTCCTGCATTTTGGGTTCCCTATTTCTTCGATTCTCTCGTGACATAGACAAATGTATTAAAAAAAAGTCTGAAACAACTAGTATTTTATAACCTTCGCTTTTGGCAGGTGGATTGGCTGTCTTGTAATAAAGGGTGTAGTTCTGAATAAAGCCACGCAGCTTCTCCACTGGAACAGTCCAACTGAGATTCACTCTGCTTCCTGTTGTCTGCACTTGCAGCTTAGGGCCAGCAGAGGGCGCTGCGCAGGCACACAAGAGAAACACATGAAAATAAATAATAAAAATACATTTTGAGTTCGGTCTTTTCATAAAAAGAAAATGACCTTGGTTGAACATATTTAATCAGTCCCCAGTTTTAGATAAATACATGTTACAGCTTTAAATACCTCCTTGTCGGGTGTAGACATACACCGGTTTGCTCTGTCCAGGTTCCTCATTCTCGTATAGTGCCCACACAGAAACTGCATATCGCTTGAATGGCTCAACTCCCTCTGTAAAAGAAAACACGCACATCACACACACATCACATTATACCAAGCAAACTGGTCATTTTCTGAAGCATAAAGGATAACTTCAGGAATAGGGAAATATCTGCACAGTGAAATAAGGATAAAACAACTGGATACATTGGAAACACAATAATAAAAAACCGTGAAAGATGTCATTGTTCTGGCCATATTTTGAAGATTATGAATAAAACAAAACTTATTTTACTTCACTCATCATTAGTGTGAGATCTATCGTCAAATGAGACTGAATTAACAAGGCACTCTTTAATGCAACCTGAGCTGCACAAGGAAGTCTTCCTCAAAAGGCCTTAATGTACAAAGTCAACAGGCTTCATCACGGTTACAATAAAAACTCAACAGGACTTGTTGATGCAGGAAACGGTATTTAGCGGGTGGAACGCGTCATCGTATTTTTAAATGAAATTTATTGAGCCGATCTGTGGAGAGGTCAAATGTTTAGTTCATGCACAAATGTTTAACTTTAACAACCCGGGAAGACACAGGACATACTGGAAGGACTTTGTCTCTTAGCTGGCCTGGGAATGAACTAGAGGAAGTGTGTGTGGATAGGGAGGTCTGGGCTTCTCTGCTTTAACTGCTACCCCGCAACCCGGCAACGGATGAAGCGGAAGAAAACTGAATGGAATGGAACTTTACAACCACCACTCCATATATATTAAAACATGTTTACTTGAAACTAAATATTGTCACACAACCGCTAACAATGCATGAAAACAAGTTATTATTCATAAGTTTTCAACAGTTTTCTGTGTGTGTACATTTTCAAGCACAAAAGTATACACAATTGCATGCAAACGTGATAATAAGCACCTGTGATGACGGCGGTAGTGGAGCCGTTCACTCTCTCCCAGTAAAGAGGAGCAGTGTCACTGATGGTCTGCGTCACAACAAACCACTCCACCACAAACACACCGTGGGGCAGTGCGGCTGCAGGGGGAGCCCAGGACACACGCACACGTCTGTCATCCACTGCACTGACGGATAAAGAGCTCAGAGGAGGCGGCTCTGAGGACAAGACGCAGAGGACATAACTGTTACGAGAATGAATCTAAAGTGTGTGTGTGCTTTACTGAGTCACTTTGTTCCATACCCTCATGCTGCTAATGAGGGTATGGAGGGTATGAGGGGATGTACACACACAACTATATATTACTTTTATACTCCTTTTTAGTCAGGGGTTTTGGTACTTAAGTCTTGCTTCTTCATTATGCTAAAGTTTCTTTGTTATAACAAAGATAAAGATTTTAGACTTGAGTCTAGCATAAAAAGAATCAATGTTTTTTTTTAGTCAGGGGTTTTGGTACTTAAGTCTTGCTTCTTCATTATGCTAAAGTTTCTTTGTTATAACAAAGATAAAGATTTTAGACTTGAGTCTAGCATAAAAAGAATCAATGTTTTTTTTTAGTCAGGGGTTTTGGTACTTAAGTCTTGCTTCTTCATTATGCTAAAGTTTCTTTGTTATAACAAAGATAAAGATTTTAGACTGATTCTTTTTATGCTAGACTCAAATGTTTTTTTTTATTACAGAGTTATTCAATTATATTGTGCTGTGTGCTCTTCATTCCTATCGTTCTTTAACGTGTGATGCAACACTGAAATTTCCCCACAGTGGGACAAATAACTGTTATCTTAATCTCAAATTAGATTAATACAATTTTATTTACCATTAGATTCATATCGTCAAGAAAGAATCAATGTTGGTTTAAAAGAGACAGAAAATGAAAGCGATACTAATAGGGGACTTAAACTAGTTAAACTTATTTTTTTAGATGGACCTTCTAAACATGCAAAACACTTAATAATGTCAATACAAATCCACATTATACATTATCTATTTAATATCTTGGTGCGGAAAAAGGACACATGCTGAAATTGTAGGTGATCAATGAAAAACCTATCATTGGATAAAATAAAATCCAAACGAGAAGCATAACAATAAGTTGATAGTGAGTTTAATTTCAGTAAAGTGTAGTGCTACATAAACATTTTGTATCTCACAATTCATGGGACGAATCTCGATATCATTATAACTACAGGTTGGGTGAAAAACTCTATGATAGTTATTGTTTGGCCTCAGCTGTCGTGGTGCATTCAAGGGCAATCGGAAAAAAATATGTTTATTGTGTACGTGCATCCCGAGCACAGGGGAAATCTGTATTGCTTAATTTGTTGCTTTTTCAATACTTGTAATTTGCATGTCGTATTGATTCCATGACGTTATATATTTTAGCCCTAGTGTAGTGTGCAATGAAAAGAAAGACTGTTGTAAAAAGTTGTTGGTAAATGATGTACCAGGCATATTCAAGTTGTGGTCCACGGGCAAAATCAGGCCCTCCCAACAATCTAACCTGGTCCACGTCTCATCTTCCATCCACAAAAAAAAAGAAAAAATGTAGCAGATGCTTTCAACACATATTTATGAAAACAGATTGTATGTAAAAAAATTGCCTAAAAAGCAGTGTCTGTGTGTGCATTTTCCCCTGGTATGTACTGTACCTTTTGCATTTGCTTTATTGAACCATATCTGTGCTTTTGGCGATGGCCCGATGGATGTGGAGGCGGAGATGGAGCAGGACCAGGGTTCCGGAGGCAGTTTTATCAAACAGGAAGTGTGGGGAACCTCCAAACGACTGCAGTTCCCTCTACCGGCAAGAAGAACGTGTGTATTTCCACTGGAACAGGTCACGTTGTAGAACAGAACTCTCCCGTTGGCCACAGAGTGAGGCAAAGGCTGAAACACACATACACATCCATATTTCATTGTAGTTTTGACGTCATTTTTTTAAGTTTCAAAAAAGTAATGCCCTTTTATATGATCACTGTTAATTAATTCTGATTTGCCAAGTGATGCAATCCATAAGTTATGTTAACACTGTGCTTCAGTTCGGGTCGAAACGAGGGGTGCCCAAACTAGTTGTGCTTAAAATGTTAGTCAAAACCAGGCTCAAATTGATTTTTGATTGGTTGAAGTGTTTTTAAGAAAGTGTTGTCTTGTATAACAATATTTCTCATATTTTGAATCTGTTGTTGTTTAAATTATGGAGGTTTTGGACCAAATGATTACTTTTATTTTCTCTGACTTGGAAGTATTTATTGTTGTTTGTTTATTTGATAGGGACAGAACAAAAAGTATTGTTACAAGTATCCGATGCCATGTTCATAGGCCTTATAGATAACAGCTAATTTGCCGACCTGGTCCCTAATACAAGCTGTTTGTTTGTTTGTTCATGAGCAACAACAAAATGTCAGGAGGATTAGGACGAATTTTTCAGAAAACGTGCAAAAATGACCAGTGAACAAGTGAGGAGAGCCAAATCACTGTCTGGATGCCGTTTTTTTATTTTTTATTATTATTATGGAGCTGCAATTTTAGGCATAAGTCTAGCTAAAAATGAATTTGATCTTTTCTGATAGATTATTCAAAACCAATTGTTTGGATTGAACTAAGATTGTTATCATTGTAGACCGATGAATTAATACAAAAATTGGTTCCAAATTGGTTTGTTAAATAATGGTAGGCAAAATGTGGTCCCACTTGGGCAGCCAGGGTCTAAACTGTGATCTGGGTCGCCTTGAGCACGGATAGGCCTGATGCTAGAGACTTGATTGAATAACTTCCAAAAGCTTCCATCTGAGAAATGCACATTTGTTTTTGATCAGTGAAACAATTATGCACAGAAGTACGATTGTCTAGAGACTCAGACAATCTGCTTGAGTGCCAAAGCAATAATATCAATTGTATAACTGTTTTCTTTATCTGAAGACAGTCCAGTGCTCGTTGGTAGCAAATAACTTTGGGAATAAATTAAACTAGTAAACTCAATATATTCAATACTCTCATTAACCAGTGATCACCACATTAGACATATTACCTTCCACAGCAGGGAGGTGAGCCTGGATCCCTCCTGGGCTATCACTCGCCTCCAGAAAGACGGCCCTGATGATGGAGCTGAAGGTAGAAGAAAACATAATAATTGAACTCCATAATCAATAAAACAAGGAAAACTGACAAATGAAGTACAAGTATTTTCAGTCCGCCAACTTACATTTATTATTAACAACCAAGAGACATTAAAACACATTCTGGCTCTGTCCCAAGATGCTATAGTTTTGAGGTGGTATTCTGTTGCATGTTTATTTGTGGCTTGGACAGAGGACCCCAGATAAAGAAGCTACTACACTAAAATACATCCATCCATCCATTTTCTTCCGCTTTATCCGGGGGCAGCAGTCTAAGCAGAGACGCCCAGACTTCCCTATCTACACACACTTCCTCCAGCTCGTCCGGGGGGACCCCAAGGCGTTCCCAGGCCAGCTGAGAGACATAGTCCCTCCAGCGTGTCCTAGGTCTTCCGCGGGGCCTCCTCCCGGTGGGACGTGCCCGGAACACCTCCCCAGGGAGGCGTCCAGGAGGCATCTGGAACAGATGCCCGAGCCACCTCAACTGGTTCCTCTCGACGTGGAGAAGCAGCGGCTCTACTCCGAGCTCCTCCCGTGTCACTGAGCTCCTCACCCTATCTCTAAGGGAGCGCCCAGCCACTCTGCGGAGGAAGCTCATTTCAACCGCTTGTATCCGCGATCTCGTTCTTTCGGTCATTACCCAAAGCTCATGACCATAGGTGAGGGAGGGAACGAAGATTGACCAGTAAATCGAGAGCTTTGCCTTTCGGCTCAGCTCCCTCTTTACCACAACGGTCCGATACAGCGACCGCATCACTGCGCACGCTGCACCGATCCGCCTGTCAATCTCACGCTCCATTCTTCCCTCACTCGTGAACAAGACCCCGAGATACTTGAACTCCTCCACTTGAGGAAGGACCTCTCCACCCACCTGCAGAGGGCAAGGCACCTTTTTCCGGTCAAGCACCATGGCCTCGGATTTGGAGGTGCTGATTCTCATCCCAGCCGCTTCACACTCGGCTGCAAACCGTCCCAGTGCATGTTGCAGGTCCTGGTTCGTTGGAGCCAACAGGACAACATCGTCCGCAAACAGCAGAGATGAAATCCTGTGGTCTCCGAACCGGACCCCCTCCGACCCCTGGCTGCGCCTAGATATTCTGTCCATAAATACAGTGAACAGAACCGGTGACAAAGGGCAGCCCTGTCGGAGGCCAACATTCACCGGGAACAGGTCTGACTTACTGCCGGCAATGCGAACACAGCTCTGGCTCCGGTCATACAGGGATCGGATGGCCCTCAGCAGAGGACCTCCAACCCCGTACTCCCGGAGAACCCCCCAAAGGACACCCCGGGGAACACAGTCGAACGCCTTCTCCAAATCCACAAAGCACATGTGGACAGGTTGGGCGAACTCCCATGAACCCTCGAGTATCCGATGGAGAGTATAGAGCTGGTCCAGTGTTCCGTGATCGGGACAAAAACCACACTGCTCCTCCTGGATCCGAGATTCGACCATCGGCCGAAACCTCCTCTCCAGTACCTTGGAGTAGACCTTACCGGGGAGGCTGAGGAGTGTGATCCCACGATAATTGGAACACACCCTCCGGTCCCCCTTCTTGTAGAGAGGGACCACCACCCCGGTCTGCCACAGCCCGGGACTGGGCTGTTGCAGCTCCATGGCACGCTTGGCCTGCCGGTACTGGACAGCTGCCTCAGGAGTCCCCCGAACCATCATGGCTCGATAGGACTCCTTCTTCAGCCCGACAGCATCCCTTACTGCCGGTGTCCACCACCGGGTTCGGGGGTTGCCGCCGGGACCAGCACCAGAGACCTTGCGACCACAGCTACGAGCCGCCGCATCGGCGATTGAGGCAGAGAACATGGTCCACTCGGACTCCATGTCCCCCTCCTCCTCCGGGACCTGGGAGAAACTCTCCCGGAGGTGTGAGTTGAAAGTCCGTCTGACAGGGGGCTCAGCGAGACGTTCCCAGCAGACCCTCACTATACGCTTGGGTCTGCCAGGTCTGACCGGCTTCTTCCCCTGCCAGCGGATCCAACTCACGACCAGGTGATGATCGGTTGACAGCTCCGCCCCTCTCTTTACCCGAGTGTCCGAGATGATACGGTCAGATGATACGACAACAAAGTCGATCATCGACCTCCCGCCTAGGGTGTCCTGGTGCCACGTGTACTGGTGGACACCCTTGTGCTCGAACATGGTGTTCGTGATGGACAAACTGTGACTGGCACAGAAGTCCAACAACTGAACACCGCTCGGGTTCAGATCAGGGGGGCCGTTCTTCCCGATCACCCCTCTCCAAGTGTCACTGGCGTTTCCCACATGGGCGTTGAAGTCCCCCAGGAGAATAACGGAGTCCCCGGGCGGTGCACCGTCCAGTACCCCTCCCAAGGACTCCAAGAAGGCCGGGTACTCTGCACTGCTGTTAGGCCCGTAGGCCGTCACAACAATGAGAGACTTGTCCCCCACCCGGAGGCGGAGGGACGCGACCCTCTCATTCACCGGGGAGAACTCCAACACGTGGCGGCTGAGATGGGGGGCAATGAGAATGGCCACCCCAGCTCGCCGCCTCTCCCCGCGGGAAACTCCAGAAAAGTGGAGCGTCCAACCCCTCTCAAGGAGTTGGGTTCCAGAGCCCAAGCTGTGTGTGGAGGTGAGGCCGACTATCTCTAGTCGGTATCGCTCAACCTCCCCCACAAGCTCGGGCTCCTTCCCCCCCAGTGAGGTGACGTTCCACGTCCCAAGAGCCAGATGTTGTGTGTGCGGACTGGGTCGCCGAGGTCTCCGCCTTCGACTGCCGCCCAGTCCTCTCTGCACCGCGCCACCACGGACCCCTCTGCAGGTGGTGGGCCCACAGGAGGGACTGCCCACGTCATCCCTTCGGGCTGAGCCCGGCCGGGCCCCGTGGGCTAAGGCCCGGCCACCAGGCGCTCGCAAACGAGCCCCGACCCCAGGCCTGGCTCCAGGGTGGGGCCCCGGCTGCGCCATGCCGGGCGACGTCACTGTTTTCATATTTGTGCTGTCCATGGTGTCTTCTGGACTGCTCTTTGTCTGACTCGTCACCTGAGACCTGTCTGCCATGGGAGGCCCTACCAGGGGCATGAAGCCCCAGACAGCATAGCTCCCAGGATCATCCGAGTACTCAAACTCCCCCACCACGTTAAGGTGGCAGTCCAGGGGGGAGTGCCGTGCCGTGCCGCGGCCCGGGCTACACTAAAATACCTCCTTGAAAAAAAAGATTTGTTATTTCATCTTAAATGGAAAATAAAACAAAAACAACAACAAATTTTACACTGAAAAAATGGTTGACCCTCTATCTGTACCTCTGCCGAAACAGGCCCAATTTCAAGCCTAAAAGATTTTCTCTTGTTTGGATGTCTAGTTTAGGCTTTGTTACATTATGGATTCATCCATATTTATTGCTGGTTAGTACCAATTAAACTCTAGGCTTCTCTGATCCACACTCCACAAAGGTTTAGCAAGAGCTCTGGTGTGTGTCTGGTGCACACCGGGGTAGTCTTGCACAGTTCTTCCAATGTGGTTTTACTGCAAATGGCAAATAAATGAATCTGAATCTGAATCTGAGCAGAGGAAAGAAGAGATGTATGTTTAATTCTTCACAAAGTATAGTAAATGAACAAAAATCATAGTGAAGTATTCAAATGTTAATTGTGTTAAAAGTGATGGTTTGATTAGCATTTATCCAGCACAGACACATCCAACCTTCCAGAGAAACAAAACGAACAGCTCTGCTATATACAGGCTCAGATGATTCTCACACTGATAAAACCAGGCATGTATGGATGTATATGAGGTGGTCATAATGTTTTGGCTCTTTCACGTATCTCTGGCTGGGTGGTTTTCCGTACCGCCCTCTGCTGTCCGGCCCTGCTGCTCGTTGCTCCATTGACTCCATAGGCTCCCGTTACTACGGTAACGGTGCCGAAGCCTCACAGAGTACTCCGTGTCCGGCCTGAAGAGGCAGGTCACAAAAGTGTCGCCACCGTCACAGCCGACTATAGGACAGGGGACAAACAATAACAATAACCAGTGTTGGGTCAGTTACTTTAAAGAAGACACACACCATTATTGGAAACACGTGTTGCTCTATGTAGCTGCATTTACCTGTTTGACTTGTGTGAGATCAGAGTCGTCAAGTTACTAATAAACATAATGAGTATTTTCATAGTTTGACATCTAATTATTAAGTAAGTAATGCGTTACACTACTGAGTTACTGAAAAAGTATTACTTGTCGCTGAGTTACACCCAATACTAAAACAACACAATGGAGTAACTCTCTTTATGCACACATTTAAATATTACAACTCAGCCTTGCAAGGATGCTTATTTACATCCCAAAACATCATGATTCATTTGCCTATAATTCAAATCAGAAACATACTTTAAATGATTTACTGACGAATAAACCTGAAAACACAGAGAGAGAATAATAAAAGAGAATCATTGTTCGTCCCTCAGTGGTGAAATTTTAGACTGTGACTGTGACTGCGTCTGTGACTGTGTCTGTGACTGTGTCCGTGACTGTGTCTGACTTTTTACACAGACCTGTCTCTGAGCTCTGAACTGGACCTGGGACTCCAGCGCCCCCTGGTGGATCTCACTGGTGGCGATCAGGAACGTCCTCTCTGATTTCATCCAGTGTAGACTCAGGCAGCGGGGCCGGCCCACAACCTCACTGATGTTGATCAATGTCACTGGGTGCAGCTTGACTAACAAACAATATATATGAAAAAATGGCATGATAAAGTAGACTTTGGCAGGAAAGAGAGAACTGAGGTTACATGGGGACGTGACAGCTGCGTATCCAGATGTTCAGGGTCGTGAATGCTGGGTCTCAAGATTATACAGATGTCATAAGCTCTTCACCCTTTTCCAACAAGTGCTGTTTACTCACTATAGTGTTTTTTCACTAAAAATAATTTTCATCCATCCATTTTCTACCCTTTAATCCATTTCTGGGTCAGGGGGGTGGCAATCAGAGATGCCACCCAAGTCTCATAGCACCAGCCCCTCACTGACCCTCTGCAGGTGGTGAGTCCACAGGAGGACGGCTGCTCTCTGAGTGTGAGCATAGCCTTGATCTTTCAGTGGGGGCTTTGGGCAAAGTGGGGTTAAGTGTCTTGCCCAAGGACACAACGACAGCAGTCATCAGTGGGAGTCGGTGGAGAAGGTGCAGAGGTGGGAATAATTTTCATCCAAAACTATTTTTCTAAAAAGGATGAATATCAATGTACACAAAGAGAAAGTGAAGACAGCCAGGTTACAGGTTTTAGCTCTTGCTCACAATGATGACACGTGATGATGTTGGCTAAGAGCTCATTTATTTATTCAAAACATCCCCAGATGACACTAAATTTCATAATTTCTTGTCCAGATATTTGTTGAGAGGACAAATGTGCTCCCTGCTGTCAAAAGAACAGCCAGACATATGATATTCAGGGCTGATGCATAAACTTGAAATTACTGTAAAGGTTCTTTATGTAAATCTATAGTATCTCATTTAAATCAAATATAATGGACCTTGGTATCGTCAACCTCCTGCGCACAGCCCTGCTCACAATAAGTCCATCAAAGTTTCCACAATAACAGTTTAATGTTCTTTGTAATACATGTAATATGATGTGAAGTGAAAATGATGTAGTGCTCCTTACTCTCGTAGACGCCCGGCTGACACCGCGGTGCAGTGGTGGTGGTGCTGCCATGGCGCCCGTGTGCCGTGATGCTGACGCAGAAGTTGGAGTTGACAGTGAAGCCATCCAGCGGCAGGGTGCAGCTGGTGCCCGCAGTGGAGCAGTACCAGAGCTTTGGTGAGCTGAGGACACATACTTTATCACCGTTATGTCTTACGAACCTTCACCTCGCCCAGGAGGAGAAGTGATCCACGTAATGACCCAGTGAGCAAATCGTCACATCTTGGGGGTGGTCCGGATCACATACGGGATACAGATTTTTTTTTTTATAAAGAAGTGGAACTGCGCTTCTAGGCAGAGATCTGTGCTCTACGAGTTCTTCTACAGTTTTTACTGCATCCACAACAGTTCCATAAAGATGTTATGACTTCTAACAGCCATAATCACACAATTGGGAATGAATAATACACATAATTATTGTGCTATTAGGAACAAAGGCATAAAAAGGTGAGTTGTCGTGAGGTCACGTAACCACAGCGGTGGTCAAACCTGTCTATATTTATCTAAAGAAATTAGTCATAGATTTGAGGAAAGGAAAATGTGTGGGAAGAGTAGTTAATAAACTGGAAACTGTTATCAGGACACACTCATCAGAAAAATCATGCCAGTCTCCAATGCCAGTCTCCAATGTGACGTTTGCAGAACTTCTCAAAGGAACATTATGTTTGACCAACAAAGTGACCCTTTTGTGTTATGAGATTTCACAAGACAGTGAGGATGATTAAGTTTACAAGTAAACTCATATGAATGCTGCTTCTAAGCATGTATTTGACTGTGCCCTATTTCACACATTTCAATAAGCGCCTTTTGTTTTTGTGAACCAATGACTTACTTTGTCGTTGTCTGGATGTGGAGAGAGTACTGTGTGGTTTGGGAGTCTCCGGGCGTCCATTCACACGTTATGTTTTATCGGTGGATGAAAACACAACCAATCAGAACAGGAGCTTTTGGGCTGAAGCTGAAGGTTGAGGGCAACGCTGGGAAAGTAATTAAAATACAGTATGAAAATTATTTTATTTTGAAAGTTAAACTACAGTCTGTGCTGCATGGTGTCACATGCTCCCAGTTACACAATAAACATCATTATCACAATAAAACGGGAGTGGATGAGATTCGTCCTGACTATTTAAAGTCTCAGGATGTTGTAGGACTGTCTTGGCTGACACGTCTCTGCAACATCGCGTGGCGATCGGGGGCAGTGCCAATGGAGTGGCAGACCGGGGTGGTGGTCCCTCTTTACAAGAAGGGGGACCGGAGGGTGTGTTCCAATTATTGTGGGATCACACTCCTCAGCCTCCCCGGTAAGGTCTACTCCAAGGTACTGGAGAGGAGGCTACGGCCGTTGGTCGAATCTCGGATTCAGGAGGAGCAGTGTGGTTTTCCAAGTGTCTCCAAGTGTCACTGGCGTTTCCCACATGGGCGTTGAAGTCCCCCAGGAGAATAACGGAGTCCCCGGGCGGTGCACCGTCCAGTACCCCTCCCAAGGACTCCAAGAAGGCCGGGTACTCTGCACTGCTGTTAGGCCCGTAGGCCGTCACAACAATGAGAGACTTGTCCCCCACCCGGAGGCGGAGGGACGCGACCCTCTCATTCACCGGGGAGAACTCCAACACGTGGCGGCTGAGATGGGGGGCAATGAGAATAGCCACCCCAGCTCGCCGCCTCTCCCCGCGGGAAACTCCAGAAAAGTGGAGCGTCCAACCCCTCTCAAGGAGTTGGGTTCCAGAGCCCAAGCTGTGTGTGGAGGTGAGGCCGACTATCTCTAGTCGGTATCGCTCAACCTCCCCCACAAGCTCGGGCTCCTTCCCCCCCAGTGAGGTGACGTTCCACGTCCCAAGAGCCAGATGTTGTGTGTGCGGACTGGGTCGCCGAGGTCTCCGCCTTCGACTGCCGCCCAGTCCTCTCTGCACCGCGCCACCACGGACCCCTCTGCAGGTGGTGGGCCCACAGGAGGGACTGCCCACGTCATCCCTTCGGGCTGAGCCCGGCCGGGCCCCGTGGGCTAAGGCCCGGCCACCAGGCGCTCGCAAACGAGCCCCGACCCCAGGCCTGGCTCCAGGGTGGGGCCCCGGCTGCGCCATGCCGGGCGACGTCACTGTTTTCATATTTGTGCTGTCCATGGTGTCTTCTGGACTGCTCTTTGTCTGACTCGTCACCTGAGACCTGTCTGCCATGGGAGGCCCTACCAGGGGCATGAAGCCCCAGACAGCATAGCTCCCAGGATCATCCGAGTACTCAAACTCCCCCACCACGTTAAGGTGGCAGTCCAGGGGGGAGTGCCGTGCCGTGCCGCGGCCCGGGCTACACTAAAATACCTCCTTGAAAAAAAAGATTTGTTATTTCATCTTAAATGGAAAATAAAACAAAAACAACAACAAATTTTACACTGAAAAAATGGTTGACCCTCTATCTGTACCTCTGCCGAAACAGGCCCAATTTCAAGCCTAAAAGATTTTCTCTTGTTTGGATGTCTAGTTTAGGCTTTGTTACATTATGGATTCATCCATATTTATTGCTGGTTAGTACCAATTAAACTCTAGGCTTCTCTGATCCACACTCCACAAAGGTTTAGCAAGAGCTCTGGTGTGTGTCTGGTGCACACCGGGGTAGTCTTGCACAGTTCTTCCAATGTGGTTTTACTGCAAATGGCAAATAAATGAATCTGAATCTGAATCTGAGCAGAGGAAAGAAGAGATGTATGTTTAATTCTTCACAAAGTATAGTAAATGAACAAAAATCATAGTGAAGTATTCAAATGTTAATTGTGTTAAAAGTGATGGTTTGATTAGCATTTATCCAGCACAGACACATCCAACCTTCCAGAGAAACAAAACGAACAGCTCTGCTATATACAGGCTCAGATGATTCTCACACTGATAAAACCAGGCATGTATGGATGTATATGAGGTGGTCATAATGTTTTGGCTCTTTCACGTATCTCTGGCTGGGTGGTTTTCCGTACCGCCCTCTGCTGTCCGGCCCTGCTGCTCGTTGCTCCATTGACTCCATAGGCTCCCGTTACTACGGTAACGGTGCCGAAGCCTCACAGAGTACTCCGTGTCCGGCCTGAAGAGGCAGGTCACAAAAGTGTCGCCACCGTCACAGCCGACTATAGGACAGGGGACAAACAATAACAATAACCAGTGTTGGGTCAGTTACTTTAAAGAAGACACACACCATTATTGGAAACACGTGTTGCTCTATGTAGCTGCATTTACCTGTTTGACTTGTGTGAGATCAGAGTCGTCAAGTTACTAATAAACATAATGAGTATTTTCATAGTTTGACATCTAATTATTAAGTAAGTAATGCGTTACACTACTGAGTTACTGAAAAAGTATTACTTGTCGCTGAGTTACACCCAATACTAAAACAACACAATGGAGTAACTCTCTTTATGCACACATTTAAATATTACAACTCAGCCTTGCAAGGATGCTTATTTACATCCCAAAACATCATGATTCATTTGCCTATAATTCAAATCAGAAACATACTTTAAATGATTTACTGACGAATAAACCTGAAAACACAGAGAGAGAATAATAAAAGAGAATCATTGTTCGTCCCTCAGTGGTGAAATTTTAGACTGTGACTGTGACTGCGTCTGTGACTGTGTCTGTGACTGTGTCCGTGACTGTGTCTGACTTTTTACACAGACCTGTCTCTGAGCTCTGAACTGGACCTGGGACTCCAGCGCCCCCTGGTGGATCTCACTGGTGGCGATCAGGAACGTCCTCTCTGATTTCATCCAGTGTAGACTCAGGCAGCGGGGCCGGCCCACAACCTCACTGATGTTGATCAATGTCACTGGGTGCAGCTTGACTAACAAACAATATATATGAAAAAATGGCATGATAAAGTAGACTTTGGCAGGAAAGAGAGAACTGAGGTTACATGGGGACGTGACAGCTGCGTATCCAGATGTTCAGGGTCGTGAATGCTGGGTCTCAAGATTATACAGATGTCATAAGCTCTTCACCCTTTTCCAACAAGTGCTGTTTACTCACTATAGTGTTTTTTCACTAAAAATAATTTTCATCCATCCATTTTCTACCCTTTAATCCATTTCTGGGTCAGGGGGGTGGCAATCAGAGATGCCACCCAAGTCTCATAGCACCAGCCCCTCACTGACCCTCTGCAGGTGGTGAGTCCACAGGAGGACGGCTGCTCTCTGAGTGTGAGCATAGCCTTGATCTTTCAGTGGGGGCTTTGGGCAAAGTGGGGTTAAGTGTCTTGCCCAAGGACACAACGACAGCAGTCATCAGTGGGAGTCGGTGGAGAAGGTGCAGAGGTGGGAATAATTTTCATCCAAAACTATTTTTCTAAAAAGGATGAATATCAATGTACACAAAGAGAAAGTGAAGACAGCCAGGTTACAGGTTTTAGCTCTTGCTCACAATGATGACACGTGATGATGTTGGCTAAGAGCTCATTTATTTATTCAAAACATCCCCAGATGACACTAAATTTCATAATTTCTTGTCCAGATATTTGTTGAGAGGACAAATGTGCTCCGCAGAGTGGTTGGGCGCTCCCTTAGAGATAGGGTGAGGAGCTCAGTCACACGGGAGGAGCTCGGAGTAGAGCCGCTGCTACTCCACGTCGAGAGGAACCAGTTGAGGTGGCTCGGGCATCTGTTCCGGATGCCTCCTGGACGCCTCCCTGGGGAGGTGCTCCGGGCACGTGCCACCGGGAGGAGGCCCCGGGGAAGACCAGACACGCTGGAGGGACTATGTCTCTCAGCTGGCCTGGGAACGCCTTGGGGTCCCCCCGGACGAGCTGGAGGAAGTGTGTGTGGATAGGGAAGTCTGGGCATCTCTGCTTAGACTGCTGCCCCCGCGACCCGGCAACGGATGAAGCGGAAGAAAATGGATGGATGGATGGATCACAATAAAGTTATGTTGATTTTCTCCCCTTGTTCTTCTTGTGGGCGGGGCTTAACTGGTGGCCATGTTTTAATATTGAAGAGTTATGTTTTCAGGTGGATTTTAACTAAATGCTCCAAATAAAACAATAAAATAATATTATTTGTGTCATTATTTTGGATGAGGTAATTAGTTTAGTAATTACTAATCTGCAAGCATAAAGCAACTTTTTTTTCAGTCGCTTTGATGCTGCCCCTGACACCTCCCCCACCCCCCACTACTCTAACGACCCACCCATCAGCCCTGCCCCCAGCCTGACAATAGCCTCTAAAGATATCAAACAACTCTTTTTGAGGCTGCACCCCCGCAAAGCTCCTGGCCCGGACCACGTGTCTCCGGTCACTCTGAGATACTGTGCCAGTGAGCTTACTCCTGTGTTCACTGACATTTTCAACACCTCTCTGCAGTCCTGCCATGTCCCGGCCTGCTTCAAATCCTCCATCATTGTCCCCGTCCCGAAGAAGCCCAGGATCACAGGACTCAACGACTACAGACCATCTCAAGTCCCTCACCTCCCCCCTCCTGAACCCCCTGCAGTTCGCCTACAGAGCCAACAGATCTGTAGACGATGTCATCAACCTCCACCACATCCTACAGCACCTGGACTCCCCGGGGACCTACGCCAGGGTCCTGTTCGTGGACTTCAGCTCTGCCTTCAACACAATCCTGCCATCCCTGCTCCAGGACAAGCTCTCCCAGCTCAACGTGCCCGTTTCCACCTGCAGGTGGATCACTGACTTCCTGACAGACAGGAAGCAACGAGTGCGTCTGGGGAAGAATGTCTCGGACTCTCGGATTATAAATACAGGAGCCCCACAGGGCTGTGTTCTTTCTCCCCTGCTCTTCTCCCTGTACACCAACCACTGCACCTCCAGCCACGACTCCGTGAAGCTGATCAAGTTCGCGGATGACACCACCCTCATTGGACTCATCTCCAACAACGATGAGTCCGCCTACAGGAGGGAGGTGGACCGGCTGGTGTCCTGGTGCAGTGGTAACAACCTGGAGCTGAACGCCCAGAAGACAGTGGAGATGATTGTGGACTTCAGGAAGAGCACTGTCCCCCCGCCCCCACCCTCCGTGATGGACTCCCCCATCACCTCTGTGGAGTCCTATCGTTTCCTGGGCACCACCATCACCCAGGACCTCAAGTGGGAGCCGACCATCAGCTCCCTCATCAAGAAGGCCCAGCAGAGGATGTACTTCTTGCGGCAGCTCAGGAAAGCCAAGCTGCCTGCACAGATGTTGGTGCAGTTGTACACGGCCATCATCGAGTCCATCCTCACCTCCTCCATCACCGTGTGGTTCGCTGGAGCCACAGTCAGGGACAAGCAGAGACTACAGCGGATCGTGCGCACCTGTACGTCGCCCGAGCTCGAGGCCGGGCTGGTCGTATCACAGCCGACCCCTCTCACCCTGCACACGGAATATTCCAACCACTCCCCTCAGGCAGGAGGCTGCGGTCCATCAGGACCAGAACCTCCCGCCACAAGAACAGTTTCTTCCCCTCTGCTGTTGGACTCTTGAACACTTCTTAACCTTTATAAAGTCACTTTACTGCCCATCATACGTCACTTTACTTCACTGTACTGCTGTCACCTTACATTGTGTGCACCATGTGCACTTGTATATTGTAAATAGTAACTGTAACTCTATTTTAAATTTAAATGTATTCCTTAGAAGTGTTTTTTATTCTTTATCTTTTATTATCTCTTTCTGACTGTTGCACTGAGCCAAAGCAATTTCCAAGTCTGTGACTTCCTGTAACCTACGTGGCAATAAAAATGATTCTGATTCTGATAAATAAATGTCCACAAACACTGTAGAAGGCATTTCTGTCCACAGCATCTGCATAAAACTATGTGAGCAGCAAAATCACATTTCACCAAAATAGTGACTCTGAGATGTAGTAAAATGTTAGTTGAGGAACACATGGATTTCCTCTGGTTTTGACACCTTAAGAAGAAGAAGCTGAGATTAGATGGATGAATTGCCTTTCTTTATCAAATTTACTGTACGGACTCTAACCCTATGAGAATGCTGTTGATTTGGTTATGCAGGTATATTTGAGAGGGATTATTCAAAAGGGAATGTCTTTTTCCTATGTTGACATCTTTAGGCAGCTGTAATTGGATCAAGGGAACATGGCACATACTTTATACAGTTGTACGCTCAACCATGTATACATTTTCTTCTTTCAACATAATTACATTTTACAGCAGCACAATAAAAAGTATTTCTGTACGGCACAAAGACAACCCTGCTACCTGCCAATACATCAAAACAACTTTGACAGCCGCATTGTTACCTGTAAGGTTGTTTTGAATAGAAGCTTTTTTGTTTTTTGACAATAGGTTTTAATGAAACAATGAAAACGTACCAATAAAAAGTCCCAATGCGAGCAGAACAGCCCACGGTCTCCGTGCCATCAACAAGCAGACAGGCCAATCCTTGTCACATTGCACAAACTGGAAATAAAGAAGACAAACTGTCCGCTGTCAGTCAGAAACACATCAGTGCATAGGAAGTAGACACATCCAAACATCTGCTGCAGCTGCTCTACTGTACGAGCTACTGTACGAGATACTGTACGAGCTGCCGTTGAGTCCATGGAATGTTTATTTATTCACTTTTAGACAGAATAACAAAGACATACAGATCGATGTAACTACAAAGGACAGATAATGGAATGGGTGGGTTTATTTACTTCAATTTTAGACAATAATGCAGTATTACAAATATTAAAATTCTAGTATAAATGATAAAAGTCCAGCCACATAATGAAGAAAGGGCAGAAAGAGGGGAAACAAGGATAACATAACCGTTAAAGACTTAAGTCCTTCCTCTGCTTTGGTTTTAAACATCACAATGAGGGTCCATGGATCAATAATGTTTTGTATTTTTAAATGTTGTTCTTGGAAAATAGTTGGTTTGTTTTTATGCTTGAATTCACTTTAAGCTTAATTCAATGCTTTTAATTGTAAAAATAATGATATAAAAGCCGCAAGTGGCAAATACAGCCCTTGCCACTCCCCCCGTCGCTTTCCACCGCCCAAATTAATTTGTAGCTTAAGCCGACCTAAAACCCTCACTTAGTGCGTGCCTAGAGTTTTAGATTGTCTTAGATCCATCTCGGCCTTTAGCCCAGCCTATATATAATTTCAGAGCTAAAAAGGTCGGCTGGTGCTAGGCTAAGAAAATATGCATGTCTGAACTAATCTAGGTGGCGATGACGATGACATGCTTTACACACATACATTTATACATTTTTTGCAAACCAACTATTTACAGTTCACACATTAGACCATGCAAGACTTTTCGTGCATGTCTTCAGGGTCAAAAGGAAAGGCAAGTTTATTTGTTTAGCACAATTCATACACAATGAGTTGCCTTTTGCATGAATTGTGCTATACAAAACAAAACAAGAAACAATCACGCAAGGCATTAAAATAAATAATCACAGTGCTTTAAAAAGAGCTAACATAAAATCACAGCTAAACAGAACTGTTTCTAACCGGGATTAAAACACTGTCAGAGAAGAAACTTTTTTCACATTTTCAGGAAGACTGTTCCAGAATTTAGCTGCATTACAATGAAATGCTGCCTCCCCATGTTTAGTTCTGACACCAGGGGGCCAGACCCTGTGCACCTCAGAGTCCGAATCTCTCAAAAGCTTTGGGCGGAAAAAAATAAACTGAATGAGATGAAAATATTGCTCTCTCTTAGGAAATGTTTAATAATGCACTCTCCGCACTGAGGGAGAACAAAACACTTATGCTCACGGGGCGACACGTTTAAGTATGACCCTCTCGGTTCGACAATGAAATAATAATGTATTATTGAACAATCGTTTACATACTTTCACTCTTCAGGTAGAATCCTAGAGGTGGTGTGGGAGAGCAGCGCTGCGGCGCACGCGCGGTAATATCAAGTCGCTCTTGCTATTTTTAACTTTTTGGCATCTTTGACTTCTGCTCCTTCTATAGTCACAGATCTAATGAATACTGGTTGTTTCGAAAAAGATGTTACTGTAAAATGCAGTTTTTTCTCTCGATGTGCATCAAGCGGCGTGCTCAGCCTCAGTAGCCATCACTCTCTCTCTCTCATGCTCAATTACAATATCCAAAGCACAACATAGCACTTTACAACTCAGCAACAACACATGAGGCGCCCAACATGTCTCTACTCAGTATGGAAGCATACTTGTATAAAGTCCTGTGAACATGACCTTTCCCAGGGACCACAATGACATGTCCACGCACATGAACGCAACATGCGCCACTCACCCACGGGTCCCCCGCCGTCCAGATGTGATTGATTGAGCAAGAGCTGTTCTCAGAGTGAAATCAACACCCACTCTCACCTCATCTTCTCCAAGTCATAGTCACACCCTCTGGATCCACGCGGACTTACGCAACTTCAGTCTTGTTGTAGAAACTTTAAAGCTGGGCTACCTAACTTTGTTTCGTCATCCTACATTATTTTTTTGACTTCACAGTGCCTTGGATATCCAACAAACCACAATTAAATAGCTAAACTTGATAAAACTATAAAGTATTATTACTTTATTGTTATGGCATATTAAGTAACTGTGATGGATTTAAATATTTACCTCATACTTTCATCGTTTATAACATCAAGTTGGGATTTGAATTATGGAAAACTTCAAGCTATTACAGTCATCGATTTGTATCATTTGAATATAACGAATATAACAAATACATAATCAATAGTGGTTCAAAGCAGTGATCCAATGATTATTATTTTTTAATTGAGCATCAGAGTTTCAAATTTTAGTTTAGTTTAGTTTATTTCAAAGGGGAAAATGCAATTTAATAAAACACATGATTAAACATGAGTTTAAAAAAAAGCCAGAATTAGCCAAGGAGGCTATTTTTCACCTGTAATCCCCATCTGTTGTCCTGCATGTTCTGAACTAAGCAGAAAGTTCAGCAGATGTTACACAAAAACAGATGAATAAGAAAAATAACACCTTTGAAGCTCAAACGGAGTAGGCAGAAGCGAGATGCTTCCTAACGCCTACCCCCTTTCACAATGAAATTTTTCAGTGAAATAATTCAGTTTCTTATCTAAGCACGTACTCAATACACAAAACGTTCCAAGAGCCAAGGACTCCTCCAGGGGAATAACTATTATCACAAACAATTACTCATCACCCGTCACCATCATGGGATTTGTTCAGACATTCCTTATGATTACTACTAATATTTTTTATCATTGTCATTTTAGAATTGTAACTTCAATACTGTTATATTTTTTTATCATAATTATTGTACATTTCTATTCATACAATTACTATTATTATCTAATAAGCACATACAAAACTGCATTCCATCCATCATTAAAAATATACGTTTATTTGTATAGCAAATATACAAGGCATCTCAAAGAGCATAACAAGAAAATAAATCTAATTAATCATCGATCCATCCATCCATTTTCTTCCCCTTATCCATTTCTGGGTCGGTGGGGTGGCAGTCAGAGCTGCACCAGTACCTCTCTGATCCTCCTGCAGGTGGTGAGTTCACAGGAGCCTTGATCTTTCAGCGGGGGCTTCAGGCAAAGTGGGTTTAAGTGTCTTGCCCAAGGACACAACGACAGCAGTCATCAGTGAGAGTTGTGAAGTAGGTCTCATAGTGGGCTCAAACCCACGACCTTCAGGCCAAAAGGCCAATGCTCTACCTACTGAGCCACTGCCACCATCCCCACAGCATATGTGTGGCCCTATTCGGTGTAGCTTGGGCCAGCTGGGGGGCAGCATTAGGCCTCAGCTGCACTAGTTGATTTGGTGAACAGTAGTTTGATCCATTATGATGCTTTGAAAGATTGATAGGGCTCTTACAAGCATGCAAAATATAATATATTTTCTAATAAGACGCAGACAATATGAAGTGGTCTGATTTGTTCACAACAATGTACTTTTAAAATACAATTTAATTTGGGAAAAACAACATGACACAACAAAAAGTCAGCAACCCCAGCTTTACTATGCCACCCAGCCTGTTGTGTTGAGTGAAACAAATGGACAGACAACATCCATATGAATTTATGAATGTATGAAACAACGTGGGTCATTACATAAGAAATAATCCACCGTATTGCCGGTTGCTATCACTCAGCAACCGGCAATACGGTGGCTGAGTGGATAGCACTCTCGCCTCTCAGCAAGAAGGTCCTGGGTTCGAATCCCGGCCGGACCAGGGCCTTTCTGAGTGGAGTTTGCATGTTCTTCCCGTGTCTGCGTAGGTTTCCTCCGGGTACTCCGGTTTCCCCCACCACTAAAAATATGTACAATAGGTCTGGCATGCGCCTCCTGTTCGGCGACCCCGCTCCCATCTCTGTGTGGATTGAGAGGACAAGTGCCCAAAAAAAAAAAACAATTGTAAACCACTTTGTGACTCTGGTCTGTGAAAGGCGGTATATAAATAATGCTTACTTACTACTTACTACTTACTAATGTGCAAGTATGCCATAACAAACACAGAATATGCACTGTACATGACCTGATTGAAAATACCATTTGTAACGATTTCTTTTCATCTTTTTATTTATTGTTTATTTGGTTGGGCCAGTGCATGTTCACACCTCTCCATATGAACACACCTCTCCATATTGTAGTCTTAGGCTAATTTGCATCCATTGACTTACTATGACCTTCCCGAAGCCCAAGCTCTAACCGCCGCTCACTGATTTTCAAATCAGTTTGACTGTCAACATGTTTCAACAGTCAGCAGCAAGAGGCGGAGGCTCGCACAATGGAGAAGCGTCATTGTGCAGCGGCACATTATATTCTTTCTGATAGAATTACCTATAATTAGTTACATAATGACCTATAATGAGTGTTGCTACCTAAATAAAAAGGTATGACAAGTCTGACGTGGTCTTCACTGGGAGCTACATTTGCGGGGTAGAGGCAGGCTGAGCTGTCGCACTCGTGGAGAGGGACAGGCCGAGCGCGCTGCTCTGCTGATGATGTAGGGGTTGAAGCCTTCGTACAAAGCCTTTTTCTCTCTGGGGGTTGACAGCTCCTGCAGCCTAGGACTGGGCTTTGCCTTCTGGGCTGATCTGGACACGGGCCAGCACACATCACGTTCACCGACAAACTTGGGATGGTTATGTTTTGGGGCTATAAATGTGTGCAGACAGAAATGACTTATGTTAGAACATGATGTACTTTGGACTTAAAATATTCACAACAACAAAATCCAGATATTATAATGTATCACCACAAGTGAAAACCAGTCAAGTAATTGATCCCTCAGACTGACCACAAAACATAATAATAAACGTTAAAAAATAATAATAATAATATATAACAGTCCCTGTGCTCCTCAGCTGAGACAAAAGACCAATATTTGAAGTCAAGTTTCAAAGTTGAGTCAAACAAAATCAGTGAATTGACATAGATATAAAAATGACTGTCCTCACTCACTGGCGAGCAGCTCTATGTGAGCGGAGGAGCGGCTGGAGCCACTGGACACTGCTGCAGGTTTGGTGCTGGAGCTGAAGGCCTCCTGGAGCTTCTTCCTGGGCTCAGCGAGTCGACAGATCCGAGCCGTGGCTACAGCCGTCTGTGTCGCTCTGCTCAACTAAACAGAAGTACAAGGTTCACTCTTATTGCTTATTTCCATTTTGTTTTGAAATATGTATTAACTTTCCTCTGGAGCGTGTCCTTATTACTTACATTTTACAACATCAAATTCACTGAATACTGGATTGTTCATTTTCACACACATAAACAAATACACAGTAAAAGCTTTGAAAAAGGGGTTGGATTCTGTGCTCGTCTCTCCACAGATCTGACCAGTAACTTGGCCTATGAACCTTTCCTCAACAAACAAAACAAACAGATGTTGATGGATCATGAGCTCTATTCTGTGTTCCATGTTTACACCGACTTTCACACTATAAACATGGAACTATGAAAAAAGTTCATCTAACTAGTTCCTCGCTCTCAAATCAGATCACAATATTTTATAGTTGTTTTATTTAATCTTTATTTAACCAGGAAAGTGCCATTGAGATTAAGAACCTCTTTTTTCATGGAGTCCTAGACAATATATCTGTGAATTAAAGGGGGTAAGTGTGGAGCCTTTTCGTCCTTACAGGGGCGAGCAGAGGGCGCTCTGGCCGCCAGTCCGCTGCAGGGAGGCGTGGAACAGCCAGCCGGCACAGGTGCAGGGATGGGACCGCCTTCAGAGCCCACTCACTCACTTTCCATTCGGGATCAAGTCTGAGAAACAAATATGCATCAATTATGTTTCAAGAATGTGAGGTGTGTAAAAAAAGTGGACGTCACAACCACCCACACAATAACTGTAGGGCATAGGGAGCTGAGTCGCTCTTGTGGAATGCATGTTGTCTGTTCGTATCCATGGAAAAAAGACAGTTTCACTCGGCCTGAACCTTGAACCGTGAAAAATGTGCATGTTTTTATTAAATTAAAGGAGCAATATGTAAACATCTGGCCAAATGTGGTACTGCAACCTCTCCCACTCCCTGACTCAGGTTGTCAGATGTACAGACAAATCCATCTGGGACCATAATATCTGAATATACAAGAGTTTTGTCAACAACAAATCTATAACAAACACCATTTTCACAAAGGCCCTGATAGAAATCCTAGTTTTATTCTTTGTTTTGTTATCAAGGATTTGAGAATCATAACAAGACCTTTTTTAGTTCTGCGACCACATGTTACTTTACCAGTGAGATTAGCTCGATGCGGTGAGTTCTGACAACACAGATAAAGGGGCTGTAAAACTAATTTTCTAATTCGAATATCTCAGCTGAACTACTGTTATCAGATAAAGAAGTATTCAAAAAGAGCATGATTTATTGATGCCTTTTGACGGATTAGGGCCATTTAATGATGAGTTGACATGAAAATCTTACATATTGCTATTTATTTATTTATCATTCTTAATTATTACAATTTTTTGTGGTTTGAGAATTAGATTCCCCTGGTTTAATGCAACCACTGAAACAGGAAAACAATTATAACTTGATCAGGTTTTATTGTCTGCTTTAATGTGTATCTGAGAGAAAGTAGGTCAGCCAGATAATGTATAGTTATAAGATTACATGTAAATAGTTGTAGTTGATCATGTAGTGGTTTAGGAAGGAAGTGATGAAGACAAGATTGGGCAACACATAAAGAGATCTGATAGAAACCGGTTACGAAATTATGCATTTTTCCACTATATGTTCTCCAAACGACATGTGATGTGTTTGATAGTTACATGACTTGAGTGCTGATCTTTTTACTTCGGGAAAGCTCCTGCCAACGTGGGGTTAAGTCTATGACAGATATTGGCGTGTAAGCAAAGCACACAAAGGTTAAGGAGAACATACAGAATGTTTGCATTGTAAAAAGAATGTACCAATTTTTGTGATGGATCCACTCTTTTCAGGAGGCAACTTATCAAGCCAGTAAACGGAGCGACTTAAAACAGAACATAGTAGCAAATTGAGATTGAAACATACAGAGAAACAAAGTGTGTGTATATATATTTCATAAATCAGAATGCATTCACAATAAAAAAACACATTATGATACATTTCTTAGCCTCGCTTTGGATTTAAGAACTTAAACTTGAGTCAGTTATCATTTAAACCCAAACTGACAAAGTACCGGTCAGGAAAGCGCAGTCGGTTGGGTTTGGGCTGAGCAAGTTGTTGGATTCGTTTTGCCATGGAGTCCAGCCCAATGTGTAGAAAGATCACGTGAACACCTGCAAAATAAAACATAACGTATAAGTCTGGAGTGTGGTCAGAGGGGGCCGATGGCACAGAGTAGCAGGCTCAATTCTGTCACTCTGCCCCAGGGCTGCTCTGGCTTCAGCGGTAGGTTATCATTCCACAGTCAATGGAGGGAATAAATAATGCTATGTTATGAGCTATTCATTTAAGAGTATTTTCCCAGAACTTTTATATTCAAATACTAGTAATACTGGTATTAGTGCCAACTGGTGAGTACTAAGCAAGTTACTATGCATTAACACTGATATTAATATTTTTTGTTAAAATGTTGACCGTTGATAGGACATTATTAATGCACTACTTTAAGCATTTAAAATATAGCAAAGTGGCCTCATTTATTCAATTGGTGCAGAAATATCACTGTATTATCAGTTTTCTACTATAAGCAAGACAAAATAAAAGAATGCCTCTTGTGTCCAAACAATAACACTAAGATTAATGACATAAGCTACAAACAATACGTATAGATTTGAATGTAATTTAACTACTAAAGCAGTTCTCTTACCTGTTTGTGGTGACACCACTGAGAAGGCGACACTGACACCTGCTGTTGCTATGGAGTCAGATGACAACAAACATCCTCTCTGTTAGTGGAGGTTCTCTCTGTGTGAACATCTTGCAATCAAGTTAGAGCCACCTGGTCAACAATGTATATTTAATGTGATTCTTTTGATTTTCGGTGGGTGGGGGAAACCAGAAGGGCCAGAAGAAACTAACCCAGATAGAGAAGAATACAAACTCCACAGAGACAGACCTGGGCTATGACTCCACGGCGCCACCATTCTGTCTTGAGAGCTACATCATCCCACTGTTGCACCTCACATTCCCAGCGAACAGTCTCCCATCACAGAACTAACCAGACCCTGCACTGCTTAGCTTCAGAAATTTACTGAAATGCAGCTGTGACAAGTTAAACTATCTTCAGATTTGTCAACAATATGCACTTCTTGAGTTAATGTTAAACTAAAGTATAACATTTATTCCTGCTCCCAAAGCCATTTGTTTTATCTACTGTTAAATCCTCAGAGGTATTAATGAGACAAATGTAAAAACAAACACCTTTATTTTTTTTTTACCACACATTTAAAATGTAGAAAACACAGTAAATGGTTATCTAACAAAGCTTTTTCCCGCCACAAATCCACAGTCTGGGATATAATATCGTGTCTATAAACTAGTATTGCAGGAGTCCTTTATTGCGCCGAGCTAATGATAGATATTTGTCTGACATCATATATATAGTCACTTTGCATTCATCTTGACTACACTTAGGAGAGCAATGTATAGGGCTATATCACCATGAAACATTCAAAGTCATCGATATAAAATACCCGGACACCTATAGGCTGACAACGTAGTGTTTGGTTTAATAACAAAAACAGTCATCTTTGTAAACTGAAGTATGCAATAATTTTGTCTGTAAGAAAATTGAAACACATTTGCTTAAGGTAGGTCAATAATTGGCACAAGCTTGGACTAAACATCCTAAAAGTAGCAAGGCAGAATTTCATAACATTTAGAAAACTTGAAAAAGCTAAAAGGAAGTAGTGTTTTTTTTTTTTTTTTTTGGTCTACAACTAATAGGCTACATTTCATAGTAAGAATACCGATTCTGGGTGAGAAAATTGAAATTTAGTGACATGGGCTGTTTGAGCTGCCAGTGAGTGTGACTGAGTGTATGTGGAATAATACAGAAGATGGCACCAGGCGATCTTTCGTGAGCAGTGCAGATGGGAGGGCAGTGAAAAGGCAAAAATCAACAAATTATGGTTTTTCAGTAGCACCAGATACAAATATGATTCATAAGTCCAGTGTCCTCTGTTCATCTTGACATCTCTGACCAAAAAAGAACACACACAAAAATTGGTGTTTCTTATACAGTCAGACAATAATATATTGAGAAATTTGACAATTAAGGAAACTTGGTTGGAGCCATAAGTAAAAGCTATATTATTTCAACAATACGGTGTAAAACAGGCTAAAAGTGGATTCATATTTGCAAATACATGGACTTCCAAATGCCCAGGTATCAAAATGCACAACTACTATTCTGTTGGGACTACCACAATAAATACTGTGTTGATCGTTTTTTGAGGTTCAACTTTTAGTATTTTTACTAGGACTAGGTATTGTTTGTGGTAACATTTGAGCTGTACAACCAGTTTCCACACATTTGCACACTGCACTGGGATTGTAAAGTTTTTAAACATGTTTTAATATAAGTGAAATTGAAGGAGACCAAAAATGTGACATAATCTGCCATCCACTGCTCATGACTGGTGTCCCCACTGACACTGTAGGATGCAGAGAACCGATCTTTCTACAGCGATCTAGACCGATTCAATAAAAAGTCCCTACAGGTTTCTTTGATCAGGGATGCCAGGAGTAAGGAGGACACAGGTGTGTATCTTTGGGTGTGTCAGAGCGTCTGCACGATGACTGGATAGAGCAGGGACATGTGCTCGGCGGCTCTTATGGGCAGCTTGTGAGTGGTGTAGTAGTGGATCACTTCTGGGATGGTGCAGAAAGGAGGGCTGTTCTCTCCCAGCACATAGCGTCCGTCTGCCGTCTGCGTGAACTTCATGTGCATAAAGCCTTTGCAGCTCCTGTGGACAGAAGAGAGCATTGTTTTAACAGCGTGTATTCAAGTTATGGTTGTCTTCTCAAAGTTGTATGTGCAGTACATGGATTGAGAAGTCTTTATTCAAGCCGCTATTGCTCTGACAATCCCCATTTATCGCCACATACACACACTTTGTTCCACGGGTCAAACTGGGCTCATTTCAGGTAAAGCAATAATATCTCTGCAATAACCTAGTGTCGCTCGCACCTCTTCAAGTCATGTCAATCAATATAATAATGACCAAAATCAACCCCCTTGAAATGTCACCCAGAATTTATCATTGTGCTCAAATCAAACCACTGTCTCTGTAATTGTAATGTCATTATGTTGGAAATGCAATTAAATACACACAAAATACATTTACCTGTCTGAAATCCTTATGTTCCATGTCAGATTTCATGTCAAAATTCATTCTGTCTAGGTAATTTCATATGTCTTCAATGATATAAAATGTCCCTCACTGGGCCATTTTCTGTTTATTGTCCGTTTTTTTCCCCAATTTGTTTTTCTGCAGGGCCAGGCCAACATTTGTGAGCGTCTACGTGTATATGTCGGTATATGTTAGTATTGTGAGAATATAGTGAGTATTCAATGTAAAAGAAAGTGATAATGACCTGATGGAGAGGGAGTAGTCAGTGCAGCACGTCTGGCTGTTCCTCACCAGGTACGAACTCTCTTTGCACAACGTCAATAAAGACTCCGCTTCGCCTCGACTGATCGCCCCGTGGTACCAGCTGCACAGACACACACAACACAGAATTACATACAAGAAACGAATCAAGGAAGATCTCAATGTAAGGAAATAGGAGTTTTGAGTGTAACTGTAAAAACATTAGCATTCATTAGCATTATGCTAGCAGACTTTTCATATGCAAATTAGACCAATTGGGACAGCTTTATTTACATATCACATTTAGATGAGAGTAATTTGAATAAAAGCTATTGTGTAATACTGTAATGTAAATGTCTTGTATGTTCATATCAACTCTGTTGATGTCATTAGTAAGTAAGTAAGTAATCTTTATTTATATACCGCCTTTCACAGACCAGAGTCACAAAGCGGTTTACAATTGTTATTTTTGGGCATTAGACAGTAACTACTGTTTATTCAGAAAAGAAGATACAGTAATTCACTTATTCGAATTGCTGTACTTTTGTGTGTTACAGTTTTACAGTAAATGAGAAGAAATGTCAAGAAAACAACTTCTCAAACAAACTCATCTGTTTGCTGTCTTAGCTAAATAGTTCTCAACATTTAGTGAGGACAGAACACCACAATGATTTACACAATACAGCACTTCCCATATTGGATGTCAAAAAAACAAAATAGTCATCAACAAGATAATTCTATTTTTCAATTTCTCACCAATTAACAGCGTGGTGTGAAGTGCATTATTCACTTTTTTGTCACATTACTATATAATGTTTGCTCCAACAGAAAGTCTTGAGCTTAAACATATTTAGCATACTGCAACTGCACTGTCCCTATTTACACTTTGAGAGAAGAGCTGATCTTTCACTTTTCTGTCTGAAAGAAGATGTGACGGATTAGTAAAAACTTTTAATAGGAATGTGAGTGTGAGGAACTGCAAATGGCAAAAAAACTGAATCTGAATCTGGAACTTGGTTAGATGGAGGATTTGTGATTTGAAAGTATCCCAGCTTAAATCCTAAATCAGGGGTTGCCAACACGAGGCCCGTGGAATGTGGCTCTTTGTCTATCATGAAGTTAAAAGACAACTTTTTTTCTACAGTGCCTTTCACCTCGTAACCTTTGCCTTTAAACACAGTTCTAATATTATGCAACATTCATAAGTCGCCCCTTCGCTGTTTCCAATCTTTCTTATGCAGTGTACTTATGGTGTATTTTTATATACAAATACAGAAAATATTATCAAACACAGACATCAACATAGGAAAACAATATTATTATTATTTTATAAACACAAGAAATGTTTTGTGTAAAGTACAGTTTGCACACTAATATAATACATTACTGGTACCATCATCTTTATCCAAAATGTTACTTTGGTGTCGACCCCTGGAGTGTGCTGGTTTTTGTGGCTCTTCACAGGACGAATCCTGAATATTTTGACTCTTCTATCTGAGCTGTTAGCTTCCTCTGTACTAAAGCTAACTGTGGGGGGGTTCTTTCCAAAAAATAGGGAAAATCATCTCGTACACCTTTAACACTAGGAGCGCCCCTAGCGGTCAACTGACCGTCACTCACTTTAATATGCTAATTAGTGTATTCAAAACAAAACGCCAGAAGTTGAAATTTTATGACTTTTTCTAGGTACTTGTTGTTTATATTTTGGTGTGTTTTGGTTTTGGAAAAAGTAAAGAAAACAAGATTTACACGCATTTTAACTTTTCTAAACCACAGCCCTTTCTGCTGCCCCATGGAGATACATGGCGCAGGGGCGACTGTTGTCATAGTAACCTTTCCCGGAGGTTTTTCGCGCCTTATAAAAATGTATCAATATGTTGTCATTAGACTCTAAAGGGACTTTTTTATTATTATTTGGGAGAGAGGGAGGAGTACAAAATGAATAGAGCTGCAAGTACACGGTAGAAGCCCTGACAGTGCTTCAAGACATTGAATGAGAACAGTCTGACGGAGGTGAGAGATGTCACATTTTGAGGTAGAAAGTGACAGCGGGGAGAACACCTATAATATTCTAAATCTGAACGTAAACCCATAGTGCATTCACGGCACGGACAGCAGTGTTGTAACAAGTCCAGAAGCAATAACGCACATGACCCGCGTAATGCCAGCCATACGCAGGTGTCTGTGTGCGCGCTGTTGCTCCATTCTGCCTTTTCATTCATCATCAATTACATTATTATATTTATACATACAAGAAGGCAATACAGCAGAATACAATATCGCAATAAAATAGAACAATTAGATGAACTATCAAGGCAGAGTGCAGAGAGAGCGCTGTGATCCTCTCGTCACCCGCGGGACACCTGCAGGAGGAGAGCGACTGTGGCAGGAGCGGCCCTCATCATATCAATAAGGATATCATTCTTATTTCATTCAGATAACACTGTGTGTTATTCTGCACAGCGCGCACTGCAAGGCAATGATTATAATGTTGTTCTGAGCATAAAGAGCACTGCTTGTCTCAAATAAATACAAATATATATACATATATTTGTACAAATATATATACATATATTTGTATTTCTAACGTGTCCCGTGTAAAATTGAAGATTGTACATTGGCGATGGTAGCCTAGCTGATGATCTTGTGTCAATACGAATATTATTATTATCTAGATAATATTTCCCACGGTGATTTCGGCCTCTAAAAAGAAAACAGTCTGGAGATGACGTAAGAAGTAGACGCATATAGCAGCGCGAAGACGTTATGGTCCCGTGCTTTTCTAAACTATAATTTATATTGTTTGAATTTACATATTGTTATTGAGTCAAATATAACATATAGTGACCGACCTTTTAGGTGTTTGCAAAGTTACAAAATAAATCTAGCCTGAAAAGTCATCGTAATTTTGATGGATCAGTTTACGCACAATGTGTCGTCTTAGTCTTTTATTTCGGCTAGAATTACAATTACTTAGCATATTTAGACAAATAATTTACACAGTTTCATTATGATCACGATTCCTTTGCAACATCAAGTTCTGGTTTAGTGAACAATCAATTTGGCAAAAGTCTGTATCAGCGCAAAATACATAGCGGTCAACTGACCGCAGGGGGCGGTACAAGGTATGTTTAGAGCACGGCGGTCCTAGTGTTAACAACTTACTTTTATTTCAAATACGAGTTTAAATCCATATTATGCTGTGTATTGTCCAGTATGACTCAGATTCAATGAGGACGATGAACGCCTCTACTCTGAGGCCTTTGACCTGGAGGCTCTGCTCACCCCAACACCACCAGGAGGAGTTCAAGAGCCTGAGCCCCAGGACATCCTGGTGGAGTCCATCATCCAGCCGCCTTCTCCTCTGGAGGAGAGTGCAGTGGTGCGGGCTCTCCGCGAACAGCTCCGAGAAGCATGGGCTGAAATCAGCTCTCAGGCTGAGGTGAACAAGGCCCAAGAGCTGAAGCTCCAAACTCAGCAACAACGGGCTGACGACTCTGCCGCTGAGCTGCTGGAGGCAAAGAGGAAGCTCCAAACCACAGAGAGCAGCTTTAGGGAGCTGACCAAAGACTTTGGGGATATCCGCTACCTGTACAACAAGGCGGTGTCTGACACGGCCAACCAGGCCAAGAGCTCGTTTTTGCAAAGCACCTTATTGCAAATCTAAAGAAAAGCATCCAAGACCAGGCCAAAGCCATACAGGAGCTGCAGCTGAGCTCTGCCAGAGAGAAACACATCTCCAGGTACTTCATTCTTGCTTCTTAATGTTTAAGTAGGAGATTTCACATTTCTTTCCTTATTATGCTAGAGAATCTGTACTTACTTATTTTTTATGCTAAAGCTAGAGATTTTATCCTTAGTATAGAGTTTTTGTTTGTTTATCTTTTTCTGTGCGCTCGTCATTCCTACTGTTCTCTAACCCATGATACAACACTGAAATGTCTCCACTGTGGGATGAATAAAGGTTGTCTTAATCTAAATCCAGGGCCATGGACACAGAGGGACTCTCTCAGCGGGACATGTCCAGCCAAACATCTCCTGAGGACTTTGTCTCAGAGCTGCAGCAGCTGAAGCAGCAGCTCAGAGCCACACAACTAAAGTTACAGCAGGAGGCCAACGACTTTGGAGAGATGCGGATCCTCTTCAACTCTGCTGTGTCTGACAAGGTCACTCTGAGGCAAGAGCTCACCTCTGCTGAGAAGACCATCGTAAGACAGAAGAAGAGACTGGAGGAGCAGGACGCTGTGATATGTGATCTGCAGCTGAAGACGAGTGACCACAACTGTGGACGAGCCTGCAGCAGGAGCCGCTCTAAAGCAGCTTCCATCCAGACAACAGCCCAAGAGAAGGAGCTCAACGAGATGAAGGAGATGACTTCACAGGAGGAGGTCTTCTGCCTCATCATAGAGAAAGAGCGCATTCTGAAAGCTCTGGGGAGGCCTGAGGAGCAGCATGGACACAGGCCACAGAGACCAGCAGGAGTAGGGGACCAGAGGGGAGCGTCCAGGCGCTGTCAACACTAACCTCCTACAACCTGCTCCAGACATTGCAAAATATAAACATGTTCACTAAAAGATAGTTTGTGTGTCTTATTGTTGTCTTTGAGATTCTATTGAAAACTATACATGTAAGATTTACTTTGATACATGTTGGCCTCTTAAAAAGGCACCATGGAAATGTTTTTACAAACCTTTGCACGTACATCTGTAATAGTGTTTTTGATGGACTTTCTTCCTAAAAAGGACAAAAGCAATCACACCAAATCACATTAAAACCTCAGGGTCAGATTAGGGATAAATAATCTAATGGTATGACAAGTAGAGTTGCAAAATCCTGAAGCTCTGCTCTATGAAGAAATGGTTTGCGGATTTAAGATCTGATGCAATGTCACTTATGGATGATGGTCAATCCGTTTATTTATGCAGTGTAATTGTTATGGTGTATTTTTACATACAAATACAAACTCTGTATTTTCTTTCTTTCAAGGCAAAACAAAAAATCTTGTCAAACATCAAACACAGATAGTTCAACATGGGCAAAATAATCTATTATCATATTCAAGATATGTGTATTTGTAAAGTACAGTTTGTACACTAAGTGAAAATATAGTATTAGTATCATGTTTATCCAATTATCCAAACTATGTTAATTTAATGTGGCTCTTCACAGGACAACACCTGAAGATTTTGGCCCTTACAATCTGACCAGTTAGTCCTGGAACCCTGCCCTAATTATTTTCTGAAACAGACTCATTAGATATCTAACAGCAAATAAGCGTTTCTGGTTTTCACGATATTGTATGGAGTGAAGCTATTTAACTTCCACATAAACGTGGATAGATCCTGTAGAGTTGTGTGCCGCATGTTGGAAGTCTTACACTTGTCTTTCAAGGGGCATGAAGGGGTCGACTCTCTCCCCCAGCAGAGGCAGCGCGTCTCCGGCCAGACGCAGCGTGGTGGATTCTGAGGAGACTGAGGCTTTAACAAACCGACTGTGCTCTGTCCGGGAACGCTCCCTCTCGGCCCCTTCAAACTGAACTGCAACCAAGAAGTTATAAACACATGTTAACTGGGATGTTACCTTATAATTTACAAAAGCATTAACCAGAGTCTAAAAAACTTCTGAGTTTGAAATTATAATCAGCATTCTTGCATTCAGATTTACATTTTTTGTTTAGATAATTATTTCATTTTGTAATTAATATAATGAATATGCTGGTCAAAAACAGTCACTGGACTAATTGATTAATCAAAAGGTAAAAAAGGACTTAACAAAACCGTTGAATTCACCAGCATACATACGAGATTCAAACAGTTCAAACTCAAGAAATGCAATGACAAAAAACACACAGCCATTGGTCCATAAGGGGCGGCTGACCAATGCCCATGAATGTCGTTGAATGTCAATCTATAGCTACAACCCTATTTGAGTATTTACATTCCAGTACTTTTTGCTCCAACTAAATAGCACCGAGGTCGTCCCTCACCTGCCAGAGCCTTGGAGATGTTGTCCTTCTTCCACTCCCAGGGCTGGTCGTACTCATCCGCCGGCCGCTCGTCGTCCTGGGGCAGCCTGCTCTCCCGGCCCTCGGCGTCTAACCAGGCCGGGTGCAGAGAGGGAGGGGCCGCGCGGGGATGGCTGCGACCCCTCTCCTCGTACGGGTTGTCGTATAATTGCCCCCCGTCGCTACTCCCCGATCGGCTCGACATTGCACTGTGCTGCAGTTCTGAAATAAATGATAGTATATTCTATAGAGGAGACAAAGGAAACAACCAAACAGACCTGACAATGGTCAAACAAACACTTTATGCTGGTATTGTCACTACAGCTGCAACAATCAGATAATAAAATAAGTTTTGCCCTCAAATTTACTGAATTAATCTAACGAGAGTCCAGAGTTTGACTTTAATCAATTAAAGTAGTACCTCATGTTTTGGCAGAAGTAATTATAAATATATATATATATATATATATATATATATATACATACAACAAGACATTTTAACATAATTGTCCATTAATTCAATAGCCTAATTGAAGATGCCACCAGGATACCAGGATGTAAATAGTAAAACCTGAGATGATGCGTTGAGCTTCAAACGGCTCCATATAGCTGCCGCACTCCGGAGGTGCGGTCTTCGGCTCCCAGCTCGGCTTGGGTCGGGGGTCTGGACGGGCGTCAAATGGGTCGGAATAGTCTGTGTCTGCGTCCGACGGAGCAGGAGCTGATGGGACCACCTAAGAGGGAACAAAACAACGATTATCAAAAGGGAACAAGACATTTCTGAATGCCATTACTTTAAATGGTCTCAGCAAGTGTAACATGTGTTGATCAAAATAAGGCAAGAACCAATATTCAAATATAAAACCACATCTTTGTCAATTGCAGCAACGTGTAGTAAAAAGTTACTCACGATTTCCTCTTGGACAGTCACAGGGCTGAGGGGAACTTTGCTGCGACCAAATTCCTGAGAGTCAACTTTGATGAGTCTGTGTTTTGGCGATACAACTTTGACCTAAAATCAAACAAGCAATTATTTATACATGAAAAATTAATGCAATTACAAGACAATCACTCTAGTGCACTCCAATTATAAAATAGGTGCCCTAATGAAGTAGTAGGCAGGGTTCAACCCCAATGCTGTGATTATATCTTTTCTTATTTTCTAAGTTGCTCCAATCAATTGGCCACTGCTCTCGCTCTGTAATTTGACTGAACCCATATTAGCTCATCGTTGAGTTCTCTTTAGGAACTTAAACAAGGAAAACAACTACATCCAGGTCAAAAGCATTGAAAAGACAAATTGGGCATGTAATGTCTATTCATAACCTCACATACTTCATACCTCCACTCCGTTAGGCAGCACTGCGCCAAATGCCGGGAAGGAGGGCAGGCTCACGGTGGAGGTGCAGGAGCCAAGGCCGCCGTTCTGATGCTCTCCGTCGGGGGAATACGGGTCCTCAAAGTCCAGGTCCTTTTGGGCCCGGTACGCCCTCAGAATCTCACTCTCGGTGTAGTCGGGGCGCGGGGGCTGAGGAGGGTCACGCCTGCTGCCAAAGTTGAGTTTCAGCCACTTTGCCATGGATCTGTCGGGGGGAAAAGAATTAATGTCCAGTCACAAGAGACAATGCTACTTTTGTTATTAATATTAGGGCTTGGAATCCATTGACATTTAAAGCTAGGGTACCTAACTCCAACCTCAAAATATGCAACTATGTATTAAAATAAATGCTAACACTATAAACTATTGATATAACCACATACATGTATATTTGCTCTTTGGCCTCAATCACATCTTTAGAACAGGGTTTTCAATCAGAAAATTGAGAAATAAAAGGACCATCCTCTCTCAGCCAATCAGCTCTCAGCTCAAAGTGTCAAACATTGACCAAACAGTATGCAGACTGCAGAAGACAAAATGTTTTCTATGAAGATGACAACAGGATGTTGTGGTCTAATCTGTTCACAGCATTTTACTTTTACAAGACTTTCTATTGGGACAAAAACATGAAATATTTGAGAAATTAAGTTAGGTACTGTAGCTCTAAATCACAATCGCATGTCGACTGTTCTTAAATTGAAAATTTCAACACTGTTAGTAAAAGACTGTGGTTATTATCAGATCAAATAAAAATAAAAATAATGGACACTATAGTATTCAGAAAGATGGGGAAAAGCATTTCCAGTTGCCATAATGAGGGCTGTAATATAGAATCAACTTGATAATCGATTAACTTAACTTATATTCCTTTAATTAATCCATTAGTTGTTATGTCACACAAGGCCAGTCAAGGAGGGACTATTTATAAATCAAAGATAGGGTGATACCACTCAAGAACATCTTCATAGAAACAAGTTGTAACTATATTTGTTCTTTTTACCAATCAAATCAAAAATACAATATACAATCTACAATCTGTGTTTCGTTGGAATTTCAATGATCAATATGTTGCAACTCGGATTAATAGATCCTTTATTCGTCCCACCGTTGGGAAATCTCAGTGTTGCATCCCCAGTTACTGAACAGTAGGAATGACGAGCACACTGTAAAACACAAGTGAACAACTAGATTTATTTTACTATCTATACTAAAATAAAATAAAAACTTCGACATAATAAAGACATGCATTTATTATGAAGCCCCTTATTGCTATACACATAATAATGTAAAGACATGCATCCATTAAAGCATTGCAGCACCAAACTTTCTTTGAATATGGACTATCATTATAAATACATGATCATAGAGACTCTAAAAGACAAAGACATAAATTGAATGCTTTATAAATTATAGGTTTGAAAATATTCCTTTCAAATGCAGTAGTTACGTGAATCATGCATTCACGCAAATGTGCAGAGTAAATGTTTGTCTGGTCTCTGATCAGAGCTTTTAATGCCCTGAAGACAACACAAGTATCAGCCATTGTCGAGAACGGGATACTACTTTAAAGGGGATGGTCACTTACTACAACGACTGACCAAGTGAATCCATTTGATCATCTGAACACAGATTAAACACCGTGCAATCATCATGCCATTATGCGTGCATGTCGATATTTAAATTATCCATCAAGACAGCAAGAATAAAATAATGTTAAATGTATGACGCGACGAGAAAAGTGGTGCAAAGTTAGCCAAGTTAGCAGCCGCTGCTAATGCTAACCACATCACAACACTCACCCTCTTTCGCTCTTTGCATTGGAGGCCGCCCGTGTCCTGCTGTTTTAATATGTCAACCAGTGTCAGAGAGAAAACACATCCATCTCAAAAAAATTGGTGAAATAAGTGAAGTAAAGGCCGCTCCTGGAGAAAGCAGGTCAGTGGGCTAATGTTAGCAGCTGTTCAGACGTGCAGCAGACTGCCCCCGACCACAGGGGGCGGGATTAGAGTAGAGGGCTGTCAATCATCCATCCACAGAAATAAAACAACTTAAATACGACACACAGCTATTCAGATTTTATTATTAACAGTATGGGCCTGTAAATATGTCTAAAAATGAAAAAAAAAAAAACAGGTGATAATATTTTTTAATTAACAGTTTTCAGTTTTTCTTTGCATAAAATATATTCCAATTTATGTACCATTTATTTTTATTTATTTTTAAAAGCATGTTGCCAGAAAGGGGTCAGCAGTGAACAAAGCCAGAAATGATTTCCTGCATTATTGATGATCTGGCAATTCCCCAGGTGACTAGCAATGACTAGCAAAAATCTGCAAAGATGGCAGAATGCAAAAATCGGTCAATGTGATCAATTTAATTAGCAAATGGGAAACAAGTAGTTCTCTGATATGAATAGGGCTTCTGTAATTTTAGGTGTATTCTGCATAACTGTCTTTATTCATTTTAGATAAAATGTTATATACTGCACACAACACACATTACAGTGTCCTTATTCGCTGTCATTACTGTCACTGTCAGAATACGCCCCCAGCAGGCTCAGCGAGGATGACCCATTTTGTGTGGATGTGGACTTTGGAGCAGACAAGGAATCACTGGACACTTCAGAGTCTGTAAAAAAATAAGCAACATTTAAATACACCTTGAAGTAAAAAGGTGAAAATAATATTTTTATGAGGCTCGACATTTCACATGAATTAAAAATAACATCAACATTGATAATTCTCTGATCATCTGTAAACATGCTTTTTTCTCTATTTTTTTTAATCTGAGCTCAACCTCATGACATTTTGACATTTAGTGAGCACAAAATAACTTAATTTGTGGATTAGTCCTTATCCACATTGAAGCAACACACAAGATTATAGTGAAGTAAGTATCCAATCTCTGGAAGCAAATGCCATGTTTGTGAGTTTGTTTTTTCTACTAAAATGATGCATCCAGCGGCTATTGTCTAACATTACAAAAAATAATCAATAAATCAGTGGCATCAAATTAAGTTAGAGAAGGTGAGGCTGTTACCAGTTTTTGATGGGGGAGTGCTCGCTTTGGATGCACTGGGTTTGTTCCCAGCAGCTGCAGGTTTCTTTCGTATGATCAGAGACCCCAGAGAAGCTTTCCCACTCAACGTCCCCACACTCCTCTCCCAACTCTCCAACTTCTTTACCCCTGAGGACGTTTCTCCCTATAAAACACGACAAAAACAAATTCATGTTGAAGTCTCTGAATATAGCTTAGTTTACATAGTGACAGGCAGTGCATATTATTTTAAAATGTAGCTATTTATGAGACCCTTTTGACAACGTTACCTGTGGACCAGCTAACTTGTCACTGGTCAGGAAGTCTGTTGCTTTAACATTTGTGTCGTTTGTCTTTGAGATCTTTTTCTGCTTCTCCTCATCTGAATCAGAGTCGGAGTCTCTCAGTCTTTTCACAAGAACGCGATCCATCATCTCCCTAAAATAAAAATAAAAACTTTACACAGCTTGACCATGATTATGATGATTCCTAATCATGCAGAGTAAACAAAAGTGTAATTATTATAACGTATTAACATCTCTCAGAACACCTTTATTGACTTTATTTACAGATTCAAAATGCATACTTGGTCTCACGTTCATCCTCTTCTTTCTCTCTCTCCTTCTCCCTTCGCTCCAGTTCTCTGTATGTGTCAATCATTCCCTCAAAATCCACCAAAGCCTGTCGCTGGTTCAACTCCTTGAGCTCCTGGAGGTTCTCCAAAACCTCCATCTCCATCTTAGAGTCCTTAGTGCGGTTCTCCAACACCTGGTGAGAAAAATAGATTACAAATAGTTAATACTTACTGGGCTCTCGCAGTGAGCACAGTGACATGTAACAAACTAATTTGACTCATTGTGTTCAAACAAAATAATTCTTGCCAAATACGTTCAATAAGAAACAAAATCCTTGTGTATGTTAAGCAGGCTTCATTCCACTTTTTTTTGCAATTGTTGATGCTTTTGGAGGCTTTTTAAATGTGGACTGAATTTGACTTTTTGCTTTAAACAAATGGGAACTCTTGTTTAGTGTTGCTGCAAACAATTGTTCTGGTTATATACAATCCGGCATTTATTTTTATTTTAAGTTGCAAAAAGTTGGTGAATTTGAATATCACTACAAATCATCCAGACCAAAAATACTGTCAAGTTTATTATTTTGTTAATTGGTAACTTTTTTTCTTTAAATCAACGGCAGTAAACTGACCTTCATTGGGTTATTGAGCTCTTCGTCCTCTCTTTCCTGTTGAACTCTCTTCTCTTCTTCCTCGATCAGTTTCTCTGCCTGGAAGTTCCTCGTGGCTCCATGCTCCATCGCATAGTCTGTGTTTTCTGGGTCAGTCTATAGAAGGAAACTTATTGTAAAAACAGACCATAGAACAGTAATTGTCTAGTTTCATTCATTCTTACCTTGAATGTGATCTCAGCAAGGCATCGGGTGCATTTGATGTAGAAGCGGAATATAGGCAGCCCCATGTAAAGCTCATTTTGAACAGTCTCCTTTCGAGCATTAAACTTTTTACCTTTATAAATGTATTCACCGCATGTTTTACACCTGGAGGCCAGAAAATATAAACATTGACAGAATTAGATAAGATAATCCTTTATTCGTCCAACAGTGGGGTGATTTCAATGTCATTGTTGTACACATTACAGCAGGAGAAACAAGGAAGGATAACAACATATCTCTTTATTTCAATTTAGATAATGAACTGATTGTGATAAATACCTCATGTTGAACGGGGCCATCAGTCGGACGACATATTGACGATCTTTGGGAAGTTTGAGTTTGGGGATTTTTGCTGGATCGAAATCTGGAGGATAGTATTTCTAAAAAGACAAAAAAAGCAGACATATGTTTGTGACTTCTTCAACATTGAGAGTGTGATTAGATTTATGATATACGTTAAAAAACACAACATAAAAGGCCTCAATTAGCTAATACACTAACACACCTTTCATAAAATGTTCATAGAAGTATTCAAACTATAGTAAATTATTATTAAGGCAATGAAAAGGCACACACTGCATTTTTTCACTGCTTGTAGATGCTTGGACTAAGTCAACATGTGTAAAGTATTTTGTCAGTTTCTTCCTAAATATAATACATTCGTAAGTAATACATTTTGAAATGGACCAGCAATTTCTGAGAAAAAACCCCAAAACTGCTTAATCCTTTGACGTATCTTCAAAATAACGTTTACACAAACAAGGATCTTCCTAAACTCAGAAACTTAGCGCTGTTATTGATCATATTTAAAATGAGAGTCTTTACGAAGTGCTAAGTGCAACCACTAAAATGCGATTTTGTTTCGATTGGGATTAATTCTGCATTTATTTTCTAAACCATTCCGACTCACGGAAACCTACATTTACCTACATATAAATAGCTACACATTTAATTGATCAGATTACGATAAAGGGACCTACAGCATTCTTTATTTACAATTGTCAGTCAGACCTGTGTAACCTGACAATGACCAAACGCAGATAATAAAACAGAAACAATCCCACACAGAGGCAGACACAGTGGACTTACATTCAACACTTTTCTTTCAGACATGGTTGTTCTGTTTTAGAAAGTTTCCAAACGAAGATTGATTGTAGATAATGTTGATGCTAGATGCTAACAGACGATTAGCTTCGATGTAAACTTCCGGTCATTTCTCTTCCTCTTTGTGGCTGTGGCACCGATGATGCTGCCTCTAGCGGACAAACGCCAACCTGCATGAAGGAAAAACAACATATTAAATGATTGTATTGGTATTTATTTTCTTGTTAATCCATTAAATAAATAAGAACCCCCACTATAATACTAATTCACATCAACACATTGAATACTTTGAACCTCTGACAAAATAACCAGATTTTATCATGCCCCAAATGTAAATTGGGTTTGGCCAAAAACTGCTTCAGGTTACACTGCACATTAAATAATAGTTTGTTTTATTTATGTATTTCTCAGGTTGTTTGAACAACCTGTGCTTGAACTGTAAACAAACAGTTCAAGCATAACTGTGATAACAAGAATTGTGTTAAATGTTTTATATATGCATGCGGTTTTCATGTATTAAAAAATACAGTATACACAATGTCACGTTTACATTATGCAGCAGTACAATGTTTATACACATCTGGACCTATATTGGCAATTTGTTTGACGAAAATAAAAAATGTAAACCCATGGAACTCATGGAAAGGATAGTGCTGAATGTGGTGATTGTGTAAAGTATCTTTTGGCAAAGAAGAAGAAAAATCATTGTCTAGTACAGCCATTCCCAAACTCAGTAACACCGAGGCCCCCTTAAAAATCTGACGGGTCTGCGTGGCCCCCCAAAATAATAACCAAGAAGACAACATTAAGAATAGGCTCTTCTGGTTATTTTATTTTGGGGAAATAGCCTCTGCTACAAACATTGTAATACAAAAATGATTACAGTGGATTATTCAAGTCAAATAATGAACACAAATATTTTAATATTACAAACAAAACATTATAAATTTAACATTAAATAATTATATTATTTTTTTATTTTTTTTATGACCTCCCGCGGCCCCCCTGCAGTACCCTCGCGGCCCACCAGGGGGCCGCGGACCCCACTTTGGGAGACACTGGTCTAGTAAATAGATAAATAAAGAAAAAAACATACATTCTGCTCCTGCTTGTGAAACTGGCTTACCCCAACATGTCTATGTCTGGTGTGATCATCGAGGATGATTGAATCACTGCATTCTTGATTGAACCTTGAATAAAGCTGAATTTTTTGTGCCCAGTGAAGTTTCTGGAAGGCTTTAGTGTCAAAATTGATGTAAACACTATAACCACATCAGTGTCAGTGTAAACACATAGAGAGACATCTGATCCTGAGGTGGCGGAGGTCACATCCCCAAGAGGAAATTGGATCCTGATTACACAGTGATGTCAATGGGGGTGGATGTGTCAAGTGATTTGAGGTTAACTGAATGAAAACAGAAAGTAATGGAAATACAACGACAACAGAATCTTGGTTTTCAAAATCTGTAAAATGAGAGGTATGTAACTTAAAGACAACATGGAAGCTACAGCACTTCAAGAGTACAATTTATTTCACTGAAGAAGCATACAAAATATTAGGCTTGTATATCAGGAATAGTTATCAGCTTAATAAAAAAGAAGACAGGACAAGTCATACTATACATTTTGTATTTTAAGATGGCAATTTCTTTCCAGTGACCAGGGCATGTTACTCAAACAGACTTTATTAAAAACCTAAGTCAGATGGAAGCAGACCTCTGACATGAGCTCTTTCTGTGGTCACCCTGAGATTAAATGGTGTGGAGCTGTGTCACAGAATCATTAATATTTCAGGGCCCGACTGATGACCACAGCACTGTAAAGAGGATATAAAGAGGGATTTTCTTGGGACCATAGCCCTTTGAAACTGCCCCTCGACTTCATCCAAACCTCCAGTCCGGCTTCAGCACCATGGTCAGCTCCACGGCTCTCCTCCTTGTGGCCACCTGCTGCTGCTCATACCTGTGGCTGGTGCGCACTGAAGAGTCGTCTCTGGAAACACGCTCCTTGGACTACACCATAAAAGCCCAACAGGAGAAAGACCTGGTGAGATCTGAAAACAACCATTGATTTTAAAATTTGTGATATATTTTATTTCCAATCTATTTTTATAAATGTGTTGTTACATCTGAAGCTCTCGGTACTATGTGTAAATGCTTTGGGGGCATTGATGACTGCTTACCATTGACCCACACGTTTATAGTTTAATTCTTGCATTTACTATAACAAAATGCCAATTATTTGTTGCAGTCTGAGATTGTAGTTTGCTTTGACTTGAAAGCAGATACACCTTGCAATTAAACAACTTGGGGAAATGATGAAAAATTCACAAAGAAAACCTTCAGCTTGTCATCGCTATAAAAATGATGCATTCAACATGAGCTGAGCCATTGTTAATTACAGATTGATGCTCTGCAAGAAGTTTTGGAGAAGCTGCGAAGCAAAGAAATGCCATCGGAGAAAAAGCTTGGTTGGCTGCCATCAGTAAGTATAAGAACACTCAGAACACTATCATTGCAATTTGATAAGAAATAAACAAGAATAAGCTTAGTTTTTTGTGCTCTACCTTTTGCACATTCTGCAGTGTGACGCAGGGGAGCCGTGCGCCGTGCGTAAAGGCGCGAGGATTGGCACATTGTGCAGCTGCCCGCGGGGGACTGCCTGTAACTTCTATGTTCTCAAATGTTTGTGATGTAAATGTTTTGTTTGTACATTTCATATGTAGCTAAACAATTAAGATTAGTTTACGTCCTTAGAATACAGTTAAGAACCCTTGTTGATTGTAAGTTACAGTTGTGCTTAAACTTTTACATACCCAAGCAGAAATTTTAAATCTCTGTCAAAGATTATGAAAGACAAGCCAACAACTTATTAATTATTTTTTTTTTTTAAGTAAGTGTGTTTTCTATTTTCAAATGTGTCTATTCTATATAATGACAACAGAAAATTCTCTTCTGACATTGAATCATTTTTGTGTATAGCGTGTATACAGTAGTTCCCTAACATCTAAGCTTGGAGTCTTTTGTAGATGTGGATGAGCTTCTTTATCCTCTCTGATGGTAAAGCTGCCAATCAACTTGGTAAATAGCCTGTATATTCCTGGTCTGCCTTGCATGAACTTTACACTTAAGAGATCTCCAGGTTGGCTCAATAACGTTATAATTTGAAAATAGAAAACAATCATATAATCTCCAGAATTACCAAAACAAATCTCTGGCTGTACGGTAAAGTTCAAGCACAACTGTATGTTTACATAAACTGTGATAACCAGAATTGTGTTAAATGTTGTAGATATGCATGCAGTTTTCATGTATTAAAAATGCAGTATACACGATGTCACGTTTACATTATGCAGGAGTACAAAGTTTATACACATCTGGGCCTATATGGGCTATATTTGTATGACGAAAATAAACTTTTTAAACAGTGTGTGCTTTCTATACTGCATGTGCATTTAATCATAACACAGCATAAATCTGACCATACATAAAACATGCGCCAAAATGAACACGCAGCTTCCTCACATCGCGCATCAATAATTCAGCAGGCCCCACACGTTACGCGCTCCATCCTCAGCAGTCGCCCCATCCACACCGTGCAGGCGCGACTCCCCCCTTTTCTATGCATGACATCACATCCAAGTCACCCGCTTCAACATGGCGTCGGGCCGGCTGCTGCTGCTGAAGCCGGAGGAAAGGGAGGTCCGGGGGGAGGAAATCGCACAGCTCGACTTTTGCCATCACAAACACTCGCTCCTGATCGTGGTGGGGCGAGCGGGGGAGCTGCAGGAGCGCATCGGCCAAGACATTGGGCGAGGTAAGCTTGCATCCCTCTGCACCGTTATTGCAGACACATACACGGGTAATAATCAAATGCCTGATGCTGGGATTTGTCCATAACGCGCTATATAAGCTGACCTCGCTGCAGCGTTGATGTAATTAAAAATGCACGCACGCCGCAAGACTGACCGGTGGATCATGCGTCATCTGTTCTACATGCTGAGGTTATTTTTCCACCACCATGCATAGAGTAATTCCCCCAGGGTTTGGTGCAATTAACAGCAGTGACTGGTGTGAGATTTGATAATGAGCTTCTAGGTAAACAAGAGATTGCCAAAACACAGCACTAATATACAATAAAGAAATAAGAACAAAAATCAAAAGAAACATACAAGGATTTATACACGCAATAGACGCACAAAGCCGACCAGATGGCAAAGGTACATCATGTCACGTTGGAAGATTTATCTCACCGTGAGGGCAAGCAAAGACAAACCATATGAAAATGAAATGTCTAAGTATGTGTGTTTGAACGCTTTTATGTGTAACTATGATTTGCCGTTTATAATCTTCAATGAAGGGGCTGCTCTAAATGCCTTCTAATGGTTTATTGATTAAAGCTGCCATCACATATTCAATAATTTAGCTCGTATGAATGAGAGGAAGGCTTGGTCTATAGTTTATGGCATCTTTTATTTCGCGGCCACAAAATTGTCAGTGTTCTAAAACTCAAGTGTTGTACTATGTGTGAAGTGGGTGATGTATTTTTTGCCGCATGTGAGAAAAATAGACAGTGACAGTAAAGACTTGGGGAATACCCTTTCATTTATGACCTCATCTACGCCCCACATGCCCACTGCGCTTTATGCATTTGCAACATTCAGCAAAAAACAGGGATGGTATGTGTTGATTTGCACTTGTATAGAGAGGTTAAGCACAATATGTTGGTGAATACAAATGATTTCAAAAACCCAACATGCAGAAGTATGAGAAATAACCATTTTATAGCACGAAAACACATTGAAATAATTGAAATAATGATAATTGATGGAAAGATTTCTGTATTGGTTTCACATTGCAAGCAAAAAAAAAACATTTTGTCTAAGTTTGGATTGGCTGCTTCGCATGTGAAGATGGTTTAGTCATTTCAGGTATATTTTTTGCAGGTCTTCGCTCCTGGGACATAGACCTAAAAAGCTGTAACCTGAATCTCCATCTGCAGGAGTTCTTGTCCCACCACACGGCTTCGTTCAAGGGCGCTGGTAAGAAATGGATTACAACTATTCACATTGTTAGAGCTGTACTTTTTTGTGTCAATTTTTCAGGATTGGTCAGCGCTCAAAGATTATGTGATTTTAGAATCTGCACATCCTTTAGTTTTAACAATTGTATGAAGCACATGTTGTAGCAAGGCAAACCGTTCTATAACTTGGCAGAACAAGAAACATTTGTTATGAGTACTTTGGATGTTTTAAGTGGGCTATATTTGCGCCAGATTGTATAACAAGTGTATATGTAAGTGAATAGCATGTAATGTAACTTGGAGGCAAACTTGCAGTATTTTTTCCACTACTAAATATAAAAAACTTATCTGAAACAAGAATTACTTTACTATGCTTAACTGATCTGGAACTCTCACATTAATAACGACAATACATAACCATGGAAACGAGGAAGCGACAGAGGAAGGAAAGTGGTGAAGGCAGGATATTGTTTAGTGGGTGGACCCTCAGGACCAGTGAACAATAGCAGTGCAACTATTCCAACTCTGAATGGGCAGTAGTCATATATGTGCTTCATCCCTTAAAAATTAGGTTTTGCGTAAGAACTACCGAGACAAGCACACACAAAAAAGATGAAAACAAAAAAACATACCAAATTATATGTAGCCATGGCGATCCAAAAGATTTGAATACTAAGCACGGTGGCACAGCGGTTAGGGCTTGTGCTTCATAGAGGTAGGTTCTGGGTTCGATGTCAGTTTGCATGGTCTCCCTATAGGTTCCCTCTCTGTCTAAAAACATATACAGTAGTTCAAGGCTAAAGCACTGTCCCAACCAAATGATATTGATAATAAACAAACTACACAAACATTTACAATTCGCAAAATAAGCTGATTCCACAAAACATAGCTGTAAAAGGAAGTGGTGAGATTGAAATCATCATTGACAATCGGAGCAAACCATTTGGGTTTGAAACATCTCCTGAACACTTCCTTTACGTAAACTTTAAGCTAATTCTCTCTCCACTTCATCTCATCTCTAATTTGCCTTATGCATAGGTTGCACAATTTTAATCAGCAGGTAGCGCTAAAAAGTCTTTAAAAATATGATGCATCACCTTATGTCACCCCCATTTGCGCCTAAATTATGCTGGAGCCCTTTTATAATTAATTTTATGTGCTGAACTATGCAAATGCATTCACAACAGCACCATGTTTTTGACAAGTGAATGTAACCAGTGCCAGTTCTCCACCTCCACAACAGCTTCCCTACAGCCACACAAGACGTCCGCTGAAAGTAAGCTGAAAGAAATATGTAATAGATTTGTTAATATATGTACATAATGTTCAGACAATTTGTACAGCAGCATTATACAAGAAAATTATCATCAGTTATGTCCATTGACTTTTGGAATGACTGTTTTATCATATTTTTCTAGTCAGAGTGGGGTAATTTGGACATTCTAATTGAAATGTTTAATTACTGTACATACTAACCAATACTAAACTAGTATCAAAATGCTAAACTGAGAGTTGAGAGTTATCAACTGTATGTATACCCACTTTAGTCACTTTAGCCGTACTTTTTCTCTTCCCGTATTCTGCACAATCATCAGTTGGTGTAATGTGTACATATTGTTATTATAACCAAATACGACCCTGTGGGAGTGTGGCTAATAATTTTATTGTCTGCTTTTTTATAATTTTTTTAATCTGCAAGATTTCTTTAACGGTGCCTTCCCACACTATGTGGGACCATAAACATAAAAAGTTTGCCTCTATGTAAAAAAGACAAAAGTTGTAAGCAGCTATAATTTATTGAGAAATTTGTGTTAAAATAATTCAAATAACAGGGACAATTCAAAACTTAAAACGCTGCATTTAACAAGGATTGAGAAGTGCTGAGCTGGCTGTGAACCAGCATTAGCTTTGTGGTGGTATACTGTCGTAGCTAACGCTGTGAGCCCAGTATAATGTGGTTTTCCATGAGACACTCAGCTCCTCTGGACTGAAGCTGGACACTGACCGAAGCTGGCACCTCGTCCCCTGCGCTCTGACTCAGCTCTTTCTCTCTCTTCACACACTTTAAGCAGCACTAGTCAGATTGACATTGTGAACCTTCATAATTAATAAATGTACATGTTATGTAGAGAGTCAGAGTTTTATGTAAGACATTGTAATTAAAAGTATTCAAACTGGTAATGGGATGGACTGCCATTGGGGGTATGTTTTCCATAGTATATCAGAGTCAAAGTCAGAGTCAGAGTCAAGTCAAAGTGATCAAATTAATTATTATAAAACCTATATAGTTATGCGGCCAAACTACCCTAACAATGTTTCCCTTTATTGTTATTACATATTTTTCATGTGATTGACTTTAGTAGGCACTTTCTTTTCCAGGGCTCTCTATTTCACATTACATTTAAAAAATCTCAATACATAAGTTCCCATAAACATAAAGTTTCGTACACTTTATATTAATACAATAAAATAGTTCAACCTAGCCAGCATTTGAAACAACCCCTCTCATACTCCTGGTCCTTGTGGTCTATGGGAAAAACTTTTTATTATCACATTTCTGTCTCTCATGTTCAGATCTGTTTCGAAATCCAAAGTGTTTGAGATGTGCTTTTCGCTTTCTGCTTGAGGTGCTTTAACCTACTTTCTCTTTCCTATCCCTCTTTTCCCTCCCCTCCCTCCTCTGCCTCGTCTCCCTCCTCTGCCTCCTCTCCCTTTGGCTCCAGGGCACAAGTGTCTTCGCCACAGCAGCAAATCTTTGGACATCCAGGTTTTGATCAGTCCCACCCAAGAGCAGGTTCATGGAGAGGTGAGACCCTATGACGCTTTGTGATATTAAAGCTCGGGTACCCAACTTTCAAATCACAATCATCATTGCCACTAGTTTTTTCATGCGTGTGCCTTAGCAAAACTGTTGTTATTAACTGTTACATTTACAAGACTCTTTCTGTTGACTTCTTCTTCTGAAACTCAGCTTTAATGCTTCATATTGTTGGTTATAACTAATCTTGTTACAACCAACACATTTGAATAATTTATGTGTAACTGTTGAAATTGATTGTGAATTCATTTGAGCAAAATGCAGCCAATTCATTTAGTCTAGTTGCTGAAATGTGCAAATGTTAAATACATGTTCGATCATTCTGATAAATCACACAGACTATACCTTTAAATGCACTTTTAAACCTGAGGTAAATCTATACGACATAACCAGAACTAAATAAGGATTGCTATTGGCAGGTGTCCTCGCTGCTGTCCCAAGACTCGGCTCAAAAACTCCTGATTTTGGCCGGTCAGAGTTTGGAAGACACTGGAGATCTGCTGTTCCACCAGGGCCTGTTCTCTGCCCACCAGCTCAAGCACCTCCTGCAGCAACAGGTGGGAATGAAATCAAACACAATAAAATAATGCATGTAAATAGAGGAGCAGGTTACGTTTGCTCAGATGTTGTTGTTCCTTTCCCTAGAATTATTTGAGTTCACCAATGCTCCCATAAAGCGGCTGGTGACTGGGTTACAGGACCGCAGTGGGAAAGATTTCTGTGTTGTTTTCACCAGAAACAAGGAACGGCTCAAAAAAAACTTCAGACTTTCAAAAATAGTCAGGAAGGAGGCAAATGCACTATAATTGACTGGCAAGTTTATCATCCAATACAAACATGTTTAAACATACTTAAAATGACGGTTCAATAGAAAGCAAGGTGTGAAGGTGAAGTTAGACACCTCTTGTCATATGGCTTGTTACACTGTCATTATGAAAAGTGTTTTCATTTTGTGACTTGTGTGTAGTTTTAGAACCTTCTTCACCTGACATGTAAACCATGGGCTATAGGTAAGGCAAGTTTATTTGTATAGCACAATTCATACACAAGGCAACTCAATGGGCTGAACAAGACAAGATAATCATCATCATAAATAACCACAGAACATGAAAAAGAAAGATAAAAATATAAAATCCCTCAGTTGTATGCACAGCTAAACAGAACTGTTTTAATCCTGGTTTTAAACATTTGTCAGAGAGGAGGCCTGTCTCACATCTTCAGGAAGATTGTTCCAGATTTTAGCAGCATGAATATGAAATGCAGCCTCCCCATGTTTAGTTCTGACTCTGGGCAGGAGTCCCGTCCCTGTGCTCCTCAGAGTCCGGTTCATAAGACTACCTTAAAAAGTGGTAAATATCACCAACCCAGTGTGTAAAAAGAGGCAAGGTTTTTTGCTCAGTGTGAATGAGCCTAAAAAAAGTGCCAACCATCCATATACCGTGGTACATAGATGTTTGGCACCTTTGAGTACTTCCTTGACTTCAGTCATTCGTCATCGTTCCCTGTTCAAGGCTCAAGAGTAAATGTTGTAAAAGTTTAACCAAGACTGTTTTCAAATGCCAGTAAACAAATAGCATTAGTAATGATCGCTCTTTAGCACAGACACAAAGTACTGCCCCAGGCTAAAATGTCTGTCTGACTCCTGGTATTTCCTGTCCACTAAACAGACAATGAAATCAACATACATTCACTGAGTTTTTCCTCAGACACTGCTCTTTCTTAATACAACAATCACCATCTTGTCTGTTGATAATATTTTTCATTTTATATTCTCTGCCCCAAGCAAGTGGTGTGTGTTCATTCCATATTTTACACCAACTATAGTTCAAGAACTGCATTTCTGGGTATTCTGGGTCACATTATGCTACTATACAACTGCCCCTAAAATGACTAACTAACCGAAACCTTTTTTAAATGTGGGACGTTTACCTAGATTTCAGTAGTATTTGGTAGAATTATTGTTAAAACGGACTTGGAACGGAACATTGTGGAAGCTTCTTGAACATAGTTGGCGGGAATTCTGGCCCATTCCTCCTGATGATAATTGATGTAACTGAGTCTTAATATTGAACAAATGGAAATAATCATCCCAAAAATGAGAAATATGACATGACTGGTTAGTGTTAATATTTTGTCTTCAGTTCTTTGGTCACGAAGGCTCCTTTTCCAACCTCCGCCTGACTCTGAGCTGCCCCAACATTGGACACTGGCGGCAGACTTTGGTGGAACTACAGGGCCCATACTCTCTCTTCATCAATCCCCCAGAGGTGCACCCCACCATGGACGCTACGGGGGACTTCGGCGCCCTCGTATCCAGCACCATCCCTCCCATCTCCACCTTTGAACTGCTGCCGCCGCCCTCCACCGTGGGCTTCCTCAAACTGTCCCGCCCCTGCTGCTACGTCTTCCCGGCAGGACGGGGGGACTGTGCCTTCTTTGCGGTAAACGGGTTCACGATTCTAGTGGATGGGGGGTCCGAGACGCAGGCGTGCTTTTGGAAGCTGGTGCGTCACTTGGATCGTGTGGATGCGCTTCTGTTAACGCACGTCGGGACGGAGAACCTCCCCGGGGTCAACGCGTTCCTCCAAAGAAAAGTGTGCGAGCTGGAGCTAGGGACAGATGTGAAAGGTGAGGCGCAAGGTTATTTGAGGATTCTATTACTGACGATGACAACAAAGAAAGCTGCAGTCTGTTTGTAGAAGATTCAACAGGTGGGTCGAGACACAGATTTTAGTGGATCACAAATACATATATGAAAGGGGCGTTGCGCAACTTCTATCTATCTAGAAGAAACATTTTCTTGAAAAAAAAAATAGAAATAAATTTTATTGTAGGTAAGATAATGATAAAGTTTTTATACTTGAGAAAACATATCTAAATCCACCAAACGTTGTATGAAAGCTTGACCTACAATATAATACTTGAAATTATTCATTACTAATAAAACAATACTTTTTGAATATAATACAGTATTTCCACGGTTAAACCCAGAGACACCACAGTCTGATGATTGTTGGTGAGCAATGTTGTCTGAGGTTTTTTTTAAAATTGATGTTTATTGACTGTTTATTACAAGACATTTTCCATAATTTCAATAACAAGTATAAACCACTGATATGAAGCTACATGATTTAAATCGTAAGTGTTTTTTTTTTAAACAGAGGACTCATCCAAGAGGCTCATCTCCCCAGAGCTCGGCGTTGTATTCTTTAACGCCCCCAACAGGCTACAGCAAGACTTGCACAGTGAGTCATCCAAATTCATGTTCAGTGTCTTTGTTCAGTGGATCTATTTTTCAATAATGACAACAAAAAGATCTGATCTTTGTCTGCTTCTGTGAGTCATGAGCCATTGAATTGCAACACAAACACTCTGCTTTGTCTAGTCTGCTGAGATATGTTGTTGAAAATATTACAATAGATTCATAACAAGCTGTGTTCAGATTTATTTGTACATTTTAAGTCCATTATATTTAGTAAGATTTTAATTTGTCTTATAGGCATGTTTCTATTGAAAATAATTTTTAAGTGCTCTTCTATTTACAATATGTGTGAAAAAACGTGCCAAGCTCTATCATAAATAATGGATTTTGTTTGTCACAGCAGAAAGGGTCCTGTATAGTAAAATTTTGTGTTATTGTATACAAAATCCCTGGAAATCCCTACTTTGACACTTTGGACTGTGAGTTGATTGGCTGGGTGAGGGTGGTACTCTTTTTTTTCACGTTTCTCTCAGAAAAAGATGATCTAAAGATGTAACAGAAGCCAAAAATTCAGATATTTGAAAACTATAGAATCAAAAAGTTTTGAATGTAAGGAACTAGTTAGATGGATTTTAATACACAGTTCCATTGTGTGTGTGTTTGACAGTTAGATAACCCAGCTTTAAGTTCATCCATCCATCCATCCATTTTCTTCCGCTTCATCCGTTGCCGGGTCGCGGGGGCAGCAGTCTAAGCAGAGACGCCGACTTCCCTATCCACACACACTTCCTCCAGCTCGTCCGGAGGGACCCCAAGGCGTTCCCAGGCCAGCTGAGAGACATAGTCCCTCCAGCGTGTCCTGGGTCTTCCCCGGGGCCTCCTCCCGGTGGGACGTGCCCGGAACACCTCCCCAGGGAGGCGTCCAGGAGGCATCCGGAACAGATGCCCGAGCCACCTCAACTGGTTCCTCTCGACGTGGAGTAGCAGCGGCTCTACTCCGAGCTCCTCCCGTGTGACTGAGCTCCTCACCCTATCTCTAAGGGAGCGCCCAGCCACTCTGCGGAGCAAGCTCATTTCGACCACTTGTATCCGCTTTAAGTTCATTAAAACCTAAATCATTTAATGACACATTTTTCAATTATTTTGCTGTTGTCTTTCAGTTGTGGACAATGTACTGAAGAGCACAGAGCAGGGTGCTTTGACTGTACGGCTACTGAAGAAGCTGGAAATCAAACCACACCCAATGGTCCGCCCCAACACAGCCCCAATGGAACCAATGACCCTTTTCCAAAAAATGGGAGTGGGACAACTTGACCTCTATATCATTTCCCCAAGCAAAAACAGCCAGGAGTACCAGACATTTATGCAAAATTGGCCTGATGCCACGTCTTCAGCCTCAAAACCGTTACCACTCAACGCTTTAGCATCGGTCTGTGCGTTGCTGGTATGGCACCCCGCCTGCCCTCATGAAAAAGTAGTGCGAGTTTTGTTTCCTGGTGTAACCCCACAAGCAAAACTAATACAAGGACTAGAGAAACTGAAAGCGTTGGCATTTTTGCAGAAAGCTACTGTTACCACTGGGGATTTAGAGCAACGTTCTAGTCCAGAGAAGAAAAGCAAAAGAGCAGAGAGTCAGGATAGTGTAAAGTCAGTTGGTAAGGATATAAGAAAGATTGTCAAAACAGTGAAAGAGGAGGCCAAGGAGAAAGGGAAAGTTATGAATGGACTAGATAAGACTAAAAGGGAGGCAAAGAAAGCGACCTTGACAGATAAAAATACACTGAAGAAAAAAGATGTTAAGGGGAAGGAGGAGAGTAAAGATGATAATGGTATTATTGGTAAAAAGGATTTGACTGCACTGAAACCTAAAACTGACAATAAAACAAAACTCAAGAAAGATGCCAAAAATGACTCAAAAACATCTGCAAAAAAGGGTAAGAAATTATCTGGGAAAGAGGCGAGTGGTGGCGTTATAAAGTCAGACACTGAAGACTTAAATAAAACAGCAACAAAACAGGAAGTTAAGGTTTTAGAGCAAGACAATGGAACTGTTGAAGAAATTATAGCTCAGCCTTCTTGTTCCAAAGTTTCAACTCCAGAAGACATGACAGAAGAATTTCGCAAGCTAAGAGAGGAGACTGAGAGAGAGGCAATGCTGGTAGAAACATCAACAACGTCATTGAATGGACTAAGTAAAGATATTGAGGCGGTTGAATGCGCACAACAAGAAACGTCAACTTGTCTAGCTGCAGATAAAAGTGAAGATATAGTCAAACCCGCCAAAGTCGTCGGATTCCCCTGTCCGCTAAAAAACGAAGAGAGCATTCCACAAGATGTAACCCCGACAGAGTACACCTTGCTAGACGGGGCGTTACAACACAGTCCCCAGTCTAAAACTTCGCCCGAAACCAACCAGCCTACAGTCAGCCCCGAAGAAGCAACTGTAGAGAACGCATCACCAGAATCTAGACCGAATAGTGCCGGACATACCCCTTACTGTCTGTCTCCTGATGACGTCTGGGGCAATCGGCCAGCGCTGAGCCGAATACAAATGGGAGACTCCAACGATGGTGGTGAAGTGGGGAATGATTTGTCAAAAGAGCAAAATGAAAGGCCCAAAAGTAACAAAGAGAAGCATTTAAGTTTTCTAACACTGGGGACATTGAAAGAGGTGCCGTCGGATCCTTCTCCGTCTCTAACTACTACGACAACTACGCACTCGATGCCTGCAGAAGTCAGCTCGCCTCAGTCTACGGAAGTTGACGAATCGTTGTCCATGTCGTTCGAGCAAGGCCTGAGCCAGAGAGACGGAGACGATTCAGTAACGCATCATTCAAACTCAAACGGAGGCCATTTTGCGGGTTTACCCTTACAGATGAAGAAGCCGCCGCGACCTTCAGGCTCAGAAATGTCCCGTACGACAAATTCACTCCACCTAGAAACATCGCCCCATGATGTCGACTTGTGTTTGGTATCGCCTTGCGAGTTTAAACATTTCAAAGCAGCAGACTCTGCCTCTAATAGTGATCCACCCAAAGGGGGCAGCTCTCTTCATAGCAACAATAATAACCAGAAAGACGCCTCGCCGAGTGAATCCAACGCACCAGTGGGAACAGAGGACTGCCCCTCGACGACAGCCGACGGCGTTCTGGATTCGGATGATGACGATTCTTGTAGCGAGCCGTCAAACTCACCGCGTGACATTCGGCTGGGACAGTCCCTTCCACCAGACCCTGTGCCCGCCCCATTGAGAGATGGTCCACCTCTGCCTCCCGTCCCTGACACCACAATGCCCATCCCACAGTCTGAATTGGACGCCCAGGCCAAGAGAACGAAAGCAGGAACTGGGAAGGCTAAAAAGTCAGCGGTGAGTGTTATATGTTTGTGTTACTAAGATCATGAAGTGAATGTATGCAAGTTTAAATGATAGAGAGACTAATGTTATGAAACACTTGAGGGTGCTTTGCTTCAGGCAAAGTGGGGTTAAGTGTCTTGCCCAAGGACACAACGACAGGAGTTTTCAGTGGGAGTCGGTGGAGAGGGTCTCATGGTGGGCTCGAACCCACGACCTTCAGGCTCAAACTAAGCCACTGTCCACCAATATTTTACATAGCCAGGAAAGAAGATACAAGTGCATTTAATGTTATTGTGCATTGATTCAAACATTCAAGTCTTCATTAGGAACAGGGCCGAATGGAGAAATGATACTTAGGGGGGATAAATACTTAAAAAATAAAAGGGTTAAAGCAATCTTCAATTATATTATAAATTAATTGAAAACATTGATATTCATGGTGATCATGGTGATTTATACAAACAGTGCTATACTACTTGTCTGTATTACCAGAATTCATATTGGATACAATTACAATTATTTCTTATTTAATGGAGTCCTTGTATTCATTGTAAATGTATAGCAGTGGCACAATAAAACCTTTTAACCATTGTCAATATTTGAAACAACATGTGGTTATATTTTCACAGCTGATGGAAGGTTTGCAGAAGTCCAGTTCAGGAAAAAGACAAAACCAAAGTGGAGCAAAAGGGTCGAAGGAGAATTTATCCTCAGCTCAGACCTCATCCTCCAGCCCGAAAACAACACCCAAGTCTTCCCCCAGTCCAGGTCTAACAACTCATACAAAAGAAAACTACTAAATTTTGTTTTGAATGCACACATAACAGCAAAGATATGAACAACCACTCTGTCCAGTTTAATTATGTATGACTCATTTTGAGAATGCTAAAACTCACAAGGGACAATATTATAGAGAGACAACATGCTCAAATGAAGCTGTGATGTCATACACCAGAAGATAGTTCCAAATTACACGGCAAGATTCATATTTCCTCTTTTAAAAACTGTCCATCACGCAACTGGTATAATTATCACTCAAAGAGTCAGCAGATGTAGTCTAATATTGTTATGAAAACGTTATTTTGTATTGTGACATCATGTAGGTGACTGAAAAAATGGTGGCTAAGTAATGATAGTGACCGAAAGATACTTTGCATTATCAAGTGTTGCTGTTAGTGCTATAAACTGTATGTTGACATGTGTTATAGAGTCAATGGAGTCAAATTCTAATTGAACAATGTTTTAAACTAAATGTTGCAGCCCCACTGTAATCACATTATCCTCCTTCGTGTCTTGTCTCTTGCAGTTCCAAAGCCGGCCTCTGGGGGGGATGTGAGTGTGTATGTGGACCTGGCTTATATCCCATCTGGACCATCTGTTCCCACGGTGACTGTGGACTTCTTCAGATGTGTCCGCTCTTCCTGCTACATCGTCAGCGGCAACGCCCCGGAGAGGGAGGAGCTTATGAGGCAAACGCTTGATGCTTTACTGGATGGAAAAAGCTCCTGGTCTGATCCTATGCAGGTAAAATGTTTCTTATTTTTACCTGCACACACCACAACTTACTTTTGTGTATGACGGTAAACATATTGTAGCACCATTAGTACAGAAGCAACCGCATATAATCCTAATGTGGTAGGAGCTCTGGTGTGTGCTATATTCTATCTTGTGCACACTGGGGTAGTCTTGCACAGTTTTACCAATGTGGTTTTACTGTAAATGGCAAATAAATTCTTGAATCTTGATACGTTTTTAGATCCATCAAGCAGGAACTCACAAACATGTAACTCCGCCCCTTCTATCTAAAATGATGTGATGCTATTGTAATGACACCACACACAAAGCAGTTTGCTGCCTTTTAAAACAAAAGTACTGGCCCTTAATTAATATTCAAAATTTTCCAGTTGAAATTATGTTTTTTTTCAATCACATAGCTGTTATTGCACCCACTAACTCAACTCCACCCTCTGATGGCAGCATAGTGTTGGATAGCATTTTTGTATGCGTGATACATGTTTTACCACATATTTCTTATATTTACTATTCCACATTTTCAACCATTTAAGAACAGAGTAAACCATGTATTTATAATTTTAACGGACAAAAGAAGGCATAATATGTCTTCTTTAAGCAATGCCAAAACTATACAAATAATCATAATATTACATCTATGTGTGTATGTGTTTTAAGGTGACAGTGATACCCACCTTTGAGTCAGGAGCCATGCAGGAGTGGTACCAGCAGACTCTGGATCGACAAAGGGACCTGAACGTCACTGTCCTGGGTTCAAACAGCACGGTGGCAATGCAGGACGAGACCTTTCCTGCATGCAAGATCGAATTCTGAGGACCACAGAAGAGCGGCATTTTAAAATGAAGGATATTTTCACATGGTGTCATAAATGTATAACATGTAGGGTACTAAGGTCGATTTTACAGTCTTGGTTTATAGTTCATGTACTATATATGAGCCTATTCACGCAACTCTGAAGGAGAGTCAAAGAAACAAGGCAGACAACATGGGCATTTGTATACCTATTTTGTATATGGATAAAAATCGAGGCTGTTTAGATTGGGTTCAACATGTTGTGGATTTCCTATACATCAACTTGAATGTGAACAGACTCAATCCTTTGGCACTGTGTTTTTGCCTATCCTTGCACCAAACACCCACGTTGTAACAGAATGCATCTTGTGCATGGGGACACATGCTTTGGCTTATCGTTATGAGAAAAAACACGGCAGTAGAAAGAAAAGCATGTGCAAAACAGACTTCAAGCAAGAGGTATATCTTAGAAATCTGCTGTCTGCCGATGGTAGATTTTGTTATGCTTTAAACACAATTCAACAAAGCACTTAACATTTGTCATTGTAGAAAAATTATTGCCACTGAAATACACAAACATTCAGTGCACATAAAATTAAGAGATTCCAAGCTGTTGTGTAGTTGATTATGGGCACAAAAGAGTGTGTTTCAAGACAAAAAATCTAATGTTTTGTCAATAAAGGACATGGGCATGAAAACCTGTGCTTTAGAAGTATGCATGCAAATGACAAAATGTACCATAGAGTGTAGAGGGAATGTATTTCAAAGATAACACTAGCTTGAATCTCACTTTGTGCATTGAATATAACATTTTTAACAAGAGCCTTATACACAATGTGGTGTGCAGTCGTGGGGTGAGCTTTGAAAAGTCTTGTGTCAAACCTGAAGTGTATGGCTGTATAATGTAATGTTGTTTATCAGTGGATCAAGTTGACACAGTTTAGTGTTTGTGAAAATCAGGTTCTCTCTGAATGTTCAAAATGCAAGTTCACTTTATTTCAGCCAGAATGGTCCAGCAATTGTAATGTACTTCAGCAGCAAAACGCTTTGCCCAAATACACTGTAGTTCTTAAAATGTGAGTGTTTGTTTAAGTTGTAGATATTGCCATTCTTTGTAATATAAGTTATATAAAGAGGGGGAACTTGTTTATGTAAATAAGAACGTGGCCTCAAATCGCAGAAATGTAATGGATGCAATGTGAATAAAATATATTGAGAAGTCTGAAGAAGTTGTGTTTGTGATAATTTCATAACAGCAATTCCTTCCGCTATTCTGCTGTTGGCCTTGAAGAGGTGGGACTCCCTGAAACACTTTCACTTTTATTTTTGCACAGCTTTTCTGGACAGCAGCGCGGACACTACACAGCTCATTTACAGGTAATATATAATCAATCTAAGATGTATTTTGTGATGAGATTTCACTGCTTTTTTTTTTCAACTAATAAAATATTTCAACTGGATATTACCAGTGGAGTCCACCTCTTAATTCTGATGCCATGGCTGTACACATTATGCATTGACCAAACCGTAACTTTCACTTTCAACATAAGTCAAGTGCAACAGAGTTACAATAGTCTATTGAGTTTTAACAGGTTTGTTCATAGATACTGTCAAATCAAATCTATCTGTCGCACCCAGAAGCATAAAGACGAAGCAAAGCTCCTCGGAGCCTGCAGCCAGGGGCCCCGTCCTGGCGGATATATGAAGTGTTGCCAACTTAGCGACTTTTCAGACCCCATAGCGACTTTTTTTTTTTCAAAAAAGCGACTAGCGACAAATCTAGCGACTTTTTCTGGTGTTTTGGAGACTCTGGCGTGGAGCACGTATTGTTCTGCAGTTACTGTCCTCAACGTGAGCCCCTCCCCCGTCCCAAAGCACTTACAGGCGGCCAGTTTCAGTCTCAGTCTCACAGTAGCCTTGCGCAGCAGTCCCAGCTACAGTCTATGGGCGGAGCAGAGAGAGAGGAGACCCTCACCACTCGGCGTCCGGACTGCAAATGAAATGCGCTTGCGCAAAAGCCGCGGCTGGCTTGCAGAGCGGGATTTAAATGTAAACGTTTATTCGCTGTGACGCTGTCACACAAATAAATCACTGCATGAAATGAAATGAAAAAAACAAAACAAAAAAAACCTAAGTAACTCTGCCAGAGTATGTCTTTTGGGTCACTTTGCCGGTCCCAAGCCCGGATGAAGGAGGAGGGTTGGTTGTAGAGCTAGCAATTTCACCCTACATAACAATCTTTTGATTACATTTATTGTTATAACATTTAACAATACAGGACAAAACTGATGTGTGTAATGTGGATCTAGACAAAGCATTAAAATCATTAAATGTTGTTAATGTTGAAATTATTTTTGTACATTTGTAGTTCTAAACATATTTAGGGTGCGTTTTACTCACTTTTGTCTCTCCCACGACGTTATTCCGCTCTCCTACAGCGTCCGTTACACTTATTTGCAAATTGCCAATTATGCAAATTAGGCGATGACGTCATTTAGCGACTTCTAGCGACTTTTGGGACAGCCAATAGCTACTTTCCTTACTGAGGAGTTGGCAACACTGGATATATATGTATATACATGGGTCCACCACTGGATATTACCTTATGGCCAAACTGATGTTTTCTGTCTTCCTGCAGTTAACCGCATCCTGTCTCCATCATGTCTTCAGTCACCTCCAGACTCACTGAAGGCCAGAGAAAGAAAGTCCTCTCTCTTTTTAATCACTCTCAGCTGCACCTGTTGTACAAGGCCACAGTCCACGGTTTTGCTGCCAATAATTTTCATACACGTTGTGACCTACAAGGCCCCACCATCTGCGTGGCTTACAACAACTCTGGATTTGTCTTTGGGGCATACACCACTAAGGACTATCTTCAAACTAATGAAAATGTCATTGACGGCTCTGCATTTTTGTTCAGCATGAGTGAGGAGAGGCCCAGACCAGTGCGGGTGGGAGTGAACGCTGGGCAGCCTGCTTTTGTGGACACAGCCACTGGTCCAAACTTTGGTGCTTTGCAGTTTCTACATGACAACACAGCTAATATTGCATGCCCTGGAGGAGCAGCGTACACCTTCAATGCAGATGAGCTGCATGGGAACGACTTGGCTTTGACAGAATTTGAAGCGTATCGAGTGGAAGGTTTGTAATTACAACTTAATATTAAAGCAAAGGAAGGTTTCTCACCCATCATCTGTACTTCTTAGCAAGTTTTCCCGACGTTTCGTCCTCAACCTGGGGACTTCTTCAGGGAATGAATTCTCGGACCGCGCGTTGGAAATCTCCAACGCGCGGTCCGAGAATTCATTCCCTGAAGAAGTCCCCAGGTTGAGGACGAAACGTCGGGAAAACTTGCTAAGAAGTACAGATGATGGGTGAGAAACCTTCCTTTGCTTTGACTAATCCCTGTACGACTGAGGGCTTACACAAACAACTTAATATTGTCAATCCAAAATAGTTGAAAAACGTATCAGTGCTCACATTTGGTTCAATATGAGTGAACTCGGGTACACTTCAGGGCAAATTATGTCTCCTAATTTAGATATGAGGACTGCATCATGAGGGCTGTTGTATTCCTTCCATGAGTCTGAACCGACTCGGATCACGTCAGACTCGGTTTTGAAGTGAACCGAGTCTTGTTGACCAATTAATGTGAACGCACTCTCAAACTCTTCACAACAGTCTGATGCAAGTTGGAGGAAGAAAATATGGTCATGAAGTTGTTGAGTTGTGGAGTATATAATATGTCTGTTACGGCCTTGGGCCTGTAGATTGCTCCCTGTTTTGTAGTTCGTGTGTTTTTGTTTGTGTTTGTGGTAACCCCTCCTGTGTAAAGATGGCCTGTGATTGGAGAACCACTGGCCCTCCCGCCTCCCAGACGTCCGTGACTCAGGTCCTGATTGGAGGAGCAGCGGTGCACCTGGCCAATCCAGCTTCCCCTGCACCTGGAGTAACACTCCACACCTGTTCGGGGCTGCCAGCCTGTGTGTGGCTGGTATCCCATTGTGCTTATGATGTCCTTATGAAAGTGTCTGTCAGTGTCACAGTGGTGGCACTGACTTAAAGACAGTCCTTATGGTCCTTATAGCTTTTATTTGATTGGTCTCGTTTTATTTGTCACTTCAAGGTTTTGTTTTTGTGACACTTCGCTTTATTTGAAGCAACAGTCAGTTTAGTGTTTAGTTCTATGTGGATTAGTGTTTAGTGTAGGTTTTATTTTGGTAACGTTGAGTTACCCCCTTATGTCCTGTCATGTGTACTTTTGATTTTTGTCTACTTATCATTTACTTGCCTTTTATTAAGTACTCGCTTTTCCATTGTACATCTTGGTTTTTTTGTTACCTCCCTTACCCTAGCCGAGCTGGGTCGTAACAATGTCAATACATAACCACATTTTTATATCATTACTGATAGCTTGTTATTGGTTTCTACAGAGTTGGGCGGAATCCTGGAGCAGCCCTGGAGGAAGGTTCAGTGGGAAGAAAAGTAAGTACACACCCAAAAAACAATCCTCATTCAGGCTTAGAAGGTTCTTTTGAAAAAATTAAAGAAGCTGCAATGCTCTTATGTTATTATATCATTCATTCATAATGTCAGATTGAAATTACTGTGTTGAAGTGTGGAGAAACTGCTACAAAGTCTCATTTGCAGCCTTTATTTATTTTACACTAAAAGCCATACAGATTGTGCCTAATGTCCACTACAGACATCCTTCAAATCCATTGTTCATAGAAACTGAACAACTTAAACTGCATGACTTGGTTAGCCTTAGAACGGATCAGATGGTATTCCATTTCATGATAGAGACGCTCATCACAGGTATAGACTTAGAGGAAATTAACATTATTTGTCCCTAAAGTGAGAACAACATTAAAATCTATGTGTACCTCTGTCAGAGGAGTGAAGATCTGGAATGATTTAACAGAAGCATTAAAAATCATGCTCAAACATGACCAAGTTTAAAAATTAAGAAAATAAATACTGCAGAATACGCAGAAGGAGCGTGATTCCCTGAACAGTGGCTGAGCATTGGGGGAGTGGTGTGTGGTCAGAGAACGTTTGGGGCCAGTGTCTGAGTCGTGTCGTGTCCTGTCCCAGTGTTGTATTCCTATAGTATTGTATTGTTATGGAATTTTGTATATAACTTTGCTTTTTATGAGGTTTGATTATTGCGTTGATGTTGTGTTTTCCAAGTGCTCCCTGAACCTGCTCCGTGACCCCTTGTATGGTATAGTGACTATTTCTTTGTGTCCTTGTTTTAAAAATATGTTGATTTGGCGATGAAAGTTTAAAATTGTGTTATGTCTGGGGTGTGTTCATTTTGTCCTCGTAATCCTTTGTGTTAGTTTTATGATAATAACCTTCTAAGCCTGACACATAAGACAAAATGAACGTTTTACATTTAATCCTCATTCAGCCTAACGCGTGGTAATATTATTAGTATGGTAGTATTAGTAGCAGTGAAAGTATAGGGATGAAGATAAGATTAACCTTTATTAGTCTCGCAGTGGAGAAATTTCAACGTCATCGTTGCGCACATTACAGCAGAGAAAGGAAATAAGAGCACTCACATTGCACTCGTCAAATAGTCTTTTATTTAAGGTAATAGACAATAACATTAAGATAAGAATAAAATGAGATAAAATCTGGGCTATAATTGCACTTGGTTCGGAAGTATTTACAGATGTCTATATTATACATTAGCCGCGGAGAATAAGAGAATATGAATATGAGCAGAATAAACATCAGAAATAATATCAACAGGTAAAGTGGCTTGAATGGGAGAATTATCAGATGGATATGAATAATACAGTAAGATATCAACAGGTAAAGTGACAGTGAAAGGCAGAATTATCAGTAATTAACAGCAGGTAAAGTGACAAGTGACAAAGTTACTAGTGAACAATCAGTGACATTTGTACAGACTCAGCAGTTCCTGTTACACATTCTCGTTGTACAGTCTGACAGCAGCAGGAAGGAAAGACCTACGGAACCTCTCCTTCACACAGCGAGGGTGAATTAGTCTGTCACTGAAGCTGCCCTCCAGAGCAGAGAGAGTGTCCTGCAGGGGGTGACAGTCATGGTCCAGCATAGATGTTAGTTTGTCCAGGACCCTCCTGTCCCCCACCTGCTGCACTGTGTCCAGGGAACAGCCCAGGACTGAGCTGGACATTCCAAGTTTGTAAATGTATGAAATACAGAAACATGACTCAGACTCATGACATGATGCTTTGCTCAGTAGCTTTATTAGCACAAACACAGTCCCATGTGAAGCTTATCCACATGTTTGTTGTGGTCCCTCCTCAGCTCAAACAGGACTGTCCCACACAGTGTCCTCACATGGACTGGTCTCACTGGGAGCAGGACGCTGCCTCCAGGCCCTGAGTGACTGGGCTCTGTCCACTCCGATGGGCCTCACACATCACTGATGCGTCTCTCCAGTGCTCTGTGGACAGCTGCAGGACGCTGATGCGGTCGTAGAGACTGTCCCCCCTCAGGACCCCCGGGCTGTGGGACCCCTCAGTGGAAGCCCCGCCCACTCTCCAGCTCAGCGTCCAATCAGAAGGAAAGCCCCCACTGGCCACACACAGCAGCGTGACACTGTCCCGGAGCATCTCCTCTCTGGAGGGGGGCAGGACGGTCAGGGCAGGCCGCTGCACTCCCACTGCACACAGACAGGGGGCAGCACAACTCACTCAGTGTGTTTATGCATCAGAGAACAGTCAGTGCACAAAAGGATCAAGACCAGAGACGTTTTCACCTGTGTCTTTCACTTCCTGTTCACTATGAGTCCAACCAACTGTGAACAACTGCTGCTGCTGTGAAACTATGAGTAATGTCCAGTTAGAACACAGCCACATCTGCAAATACTCTACATTCTCTTTGTCTTGTGGTAGAACTCATTAAAGCTGGGGTACCTCACTTTCACACCTCAAATTATTGAACTAATTAACATTTTCTAACTAGCCCCTCGTCTTCAAAACTTGTTCTATATAGTTTCCACAATTATGTAAGTTGGGCCCCTGTCACTTCTTTAGATCACCTTTTTCAGACAGAAAAGTGAGGACCATCCTGACTCAGCCAATCAGCTCAGCCCAAGTCTTCAAATAGTGACTCACAGGGCAAAAGTATACAAACATGAACATATTTTCTATAAAGATGTAGACAGCAGGTTGTGGTCTGAATTGTTCACAACATTTTACTGAGACTCTTTCTGTTGGGACATAAAAAGATACAATATAGTGACCCATTTTTGTGTATTTATATGTATTTTGTTCACAGATAATTAAATTCTGCTGAGTGAGCCGTGTGAAAGAACATATAACATATATTTAATACAATTATATTTACAGGCTGATATTCATTGTAATAATTTCACACTGTTTATTTGACTGGTTTTGAGTTTGTCTTTCAGATCACAGAGAATTCTTGTATTTTATTGAATATACTTCTTTTGCATCCCTTTGGAAAATGTTTATTTTACTCTACAAATACATTTGAATGGAATGGATTTACTTTTACAGCCTTGAGTTCATCAAGCAGTACATTTTTACTACACAAACTTTAGTGTTCAGTGAGTCATCTGTGATATTCTTTAAGCCATAATTTAAGATCTCAAAATCAAAAAGTCATTTAATCCTTGATAGCATTTTGACTTGTTTGTTTTATTGAATTAAAATACATATACAATATATTTAATTTTTGCTGCTACTGGAAACCTGAATTTCTTCCATTCAGAAATCTATCCATCTACTTTGACTAAAAAATATATTAATTTTCGACCACCACATGTTTGTAACTAACACTAATCTCATCTAATTGTCAGTCATATGTAATCTAATCATGGAACAAGATACTTCACCAACCGAAAAACCAGTCTGAAATACTATCAAAATCCCAGATATGAATGAATTGTGATAAAGTAGAAGTGAAAAGTACTCACAGTCCACGATGAGCTGTGTTCCTCCTCCAAACGTGTTCCACAGTGATACAAAGTCCTGAAGACGCCGTACAAAAACCTCCTCCACACTCACTCACTCATGTTGTAGTGTTTCTGCTCATTCAGGAAACTTTGGAAAGGATTCAAACAGTAACATCCACATGTTTATATTACTGAACCAGTTATACATGTTATTGATATATATTATTATCTCAAGACATTTAGAATTGTCTTTGCTTTCAAACTACAACCATGAAAGGAGAATATGTTGTGTCATAGAAACTGTCTTAGAGCTGGGTTATTTTCATTCCATTTCCTTTTACATCATTTACCACAATTTAACACATGATTAAAATAGCTTCAGTAGTATTTTTGCTTCCTAATGACTCATAAAACACATTTATAAATACATATGGTGCTGAAATCGTACAAAATTTTACCTCATCCCTTTTAATAACTGGTCCAACGTATATTCATATTTTCTTTTAAATACATGGATGTTTTAATGAATAAATGTGGCAGAAGTCAGTGGGAGAACTCAGAGTGGACACAGAGGCAGTATTTCCATAGAGAGGAGGGTCACATGATCAGCTGGTTGACTTTTATACTGAGCTGGAGACTGCAGGAGTCACATGTGTCAGTGAACGCACCATGGCTCTGCTCTGCTCCATCCTCATCTGGACACTGGCCTGCTGCTGCTTCACAGGTTCCACTCTCAGACACACTGAACACAACACACTGTCTTTTCTCTGTCTTTCTTCTGATCAGTGTTTATTGTTTTTACAGGATGCAGCGGTCAGATCACAGTCACTCAGCCTCCAGTCCAGATGTTTACTCCAGGATCCACAGTCACTCTCACCTGTGAAACTAACACAAATGTCTATAATAATAATTACATGCACTGGTATCAGCAGAAGCCTGGTCAGACTCCAAAGCTCTTTATATACGCTGCAAGTAACCGTTGGTCAGGAACTCCATCTCGGTTCAGTGGCAGTGGGAGCGGCACTCGCTTCTCTTTGACCATCACTGGAGCTCAGGCTGAAGATGCAGCAGTTTATTACTGTCAGAGTACCCATAATAACCCATGGTTGAACACACAGTGATTTGTGCTCGTACAAAAACCTCCCTCAGAGAGTCCTTCAGAGCGAGACCAGAGCAGGAAACAACTGGAGCTGCTCAAGAGGAACACACTTTCAGTCACTTTATTACACAGAACAATCATCAAATAAAGTATTTATTCATTTATCTATAAATCAAGAGTAGCTCAGTTGGTAGAGCATTGGCCTTTGCGCCTGAAGGTCATGGGTTCGAGCACACCATGGGACCTACTCCAACTGCTCCCACTAATGTCTACTGTAGTTGTGTCCTTAGGCAAGACACTTAACCCCACATTGCCTGATACTCCTGCTGAAACACCATGGCTGTGGCACCACTGATGCAGCAGCCATCGTCCTGTGGACCAACCACCTGCAGAGGATCAGCGAGGGCATTGGGTGGCAGCTCTCATTGTCACCCCCCCACCCAGAAATGGACTAATAAAGGGGTAGAAAATGAATGAATGAATATCTCCATTTTTATGTTGATACGATTTTTCATAATATTCTTCTGGCTTCTTATGTTCACACTTGACTCAGATGATTGTCAAAATCCATCAACTCTGTAAATATCTTGAGTTCCACTTGTTCATAATTGGAGTTGGGCACTACAGGTAGTTTTATTGAAAATATTGAAAGAAAATAGTGTATCTGTTTTATTATAAATTGTGTATTTCAAAGACCAGGATCACAATAAGCACAGACTATAATACAAATCAAAAGTGGAATAGTTGTCTCAGACTTTATATCGGAATCTTGTTTGAACTATTTATGAATGTTTTTTAAACTGAACAATGAATTCCAAGTTTGTAAATGTATGAAATACAGAAACATGACTCAGACTCATGACATGATGCTTTGCTCAGTAGCTTTATTAGCACAAACACAGTCCCATGTGAAGCTTATCCACATGTTTGTTGTGGTCCCTCCTCAGCTCAAACAGGACTGTCCCACACAGTGTCCTCACATGGACTGGTCTCACTGGGAGCAGGACGCTGCCTCCAGGCCCTGAGTGACTGGGCTCTGTCCACTCCGATGGGCCTCACACATCACTGATGCGTCTCTCCAGTGCTCTGTGGACAGCTGCAGGACGCTGATGCGGTCGTAGAGACTGTCCCCCCTCAGGACCCCCGGGCTGTGGGACCCCTCAGTGGAAGCCCCGCCCACTCTCCAGCTCAGCGTCCAATCAGAAGGAAAGCCCCCACTGGCCACACACAGCAGCGTGACACTGTCCCGGAGCAGCTCCTCTCTGGAGGGGGGCAGGACGGTCAGGGCAGGCCGCTGCACTCCCACTGCACACAGACAGGGGGCAGCACAACTCACTCATTGTGTTTATGCATCAGAGAACAGTCAGTGCACAAAAGGATCAAGACCAGAGACGTTTTCACCTGTGTCTTTCACTTCCTGTTCACTATGAGTCCAACCAACTGTGAACAACTGCTGCTGCTGTGAAACTATGAGTAATGTCCATTTAGAACACAGCCACATCTGCAAATACTCTACATTCTCTTTGTCTTGTGGTAGAACTCATTAAAGCTGGGGTACCTCACTTTCACTCCTCAAATTATTGAACTAATTCACATTTTCTAAATAGCCCCTCGTTTTCAAAACTTGTTCTATATAGTTTCCACAATTATGTAAGTTGGGCCCCTGTCACTTCTTTAGATCACCTTTTTCAGACAGAAAAGTGAGGACCATCCTGACTCAGCCAATCAGCTCAGCCCAAGTCTTCAAATAGTGACTTACAGAGCAAAGAAATGCAAAATATAAATTGTTTTTTACTGAGATGTTGACAGACGGTTGTGGTGTAAATTTTTCACAACATTTTACTTTTAAAGGGAGAGAGGCACGGCCCAGGAGAAGCGTGTTGGGTGATACGTACTGAACGCAGTCTTCGTGGCTTTGGACTGTGGCATCTATTGGTCGCTCGTTGGCGAGGTTAGCAGCGAGTTGCAGAGTTGTTTGGAACTCGCTATAACTGAGGCCAGCGCTGGGGCCCAAGCTCTGGAGTGCCTTTTTGAGGATGCGAACAGCGGTTTCAGCAGCCCCATTTCGGTGAGGTGAATCAGCTGCATGGATTGTCCAATCCCACTTGGTGCCTTTTTTAGCCGATAATTCCTCTACAGCAGTTTTGTTTTGAGCGTCAAGGAAGCTGTATAGATCCTTTAGGACAGGTTTGGCACCGACAAAGTTTGTCCCTGGATCAGACCAAACCCTTCGTGGATGCCCTCTGATTGCAGTGAACCGTTGGTAGGTCAAAAGGAAGCTCTCTGTGGACAATGTGTTTACCAGATCGGTGTGTACTGCCCTACTGGTCATGCAACTGAACACAACACCCCATACTTTTGTGGTGACCCGTTTTTTAATGTCGTCTCTAACGTGGTATGGCCCGAATAGATCCACTGTAGTATATTCGAATGGTGCGGCAGGCCCGGTTCTCTCAGGGGGCAGGTCCCCCATTATCTGCTGACAAAGTTTTGCTTTGGACTTTTTGCAGAAAATACAGCCTCCCACCACTTTTTGGGCAATCCTTCTTCCTCTGATGACCCAAGCACTCCTCCTCATCTTCAACAAGGTTGCAGCCACGCCTTCATGGGCCTCGTTGTGAGCCTCTCTTGCCAAAAGAGTGGACACCCATGCGTTGGGAGGTAGTAGGGGTACTGCTCGGCCGTCTTCCCTGAAGCCGTGGATTCTTCCTCCGCAGACTAGCAGACCTGTTTCAGGTTCTCTATATACCACCAAGCGGTCTGTGGTCGTAGCTGGGAAGGTTACTCCTTCTTGTGCAGCAAGGAAGAGGTCTCGGAGGGCATCTCGACGTTCAGAGGCGCTGACGACGCCTTCCGTTGGGATTGCCTCCCACTTTGAGTCCTTTATGGATTTGTTTGGTGTCAGGAATCTTCTGGCAGCCCTCCAAACTAAAGTGATGGTTTTGACCAGACGAGATAGACTGCTGAAACGCTTTACATCCATCAAGCTTTGGATGACTGTACCAGCGGGATGTCTATGGACTGGAACTTCATTTTGGCGCCTTGTTTGGGCTCTGGTAAGGGCTGCCACGAATGATTTCTTTTGCATGGTTGTGATGCTTTCACGAGCAGCGGCAGAAACTTCTTTTGCAGACTTAATTGGCCACTCGCTTTCTGGGTGGTGTAAGAAGTCAGGCCCTTGCTGCCACTCTGAGTAAGAGTCCAGTTCCTTTGGTCCACCTCCACGGGTGATCATGTCCGCTACGTTGAGTTGACCAGGGACCCACCACCAGTTTTGTGGCTGTGTGCTGCTCTGTATTTCTCCGATCCTGTTGGCAAAGAAAGTTTGAAAGCCATAGCTTTCGCGTTGGATAGCTCCAAGGATGGTCTGGCTGTCCACTAAATGTTACCACTGGCTGGCTTTGATCTGGGTATGCTCTTCAAAAAACCTTTTTAGGCGGCTTGCAAACACTGCACCACAGAGCTCAGCTTTTACCGCATCCCCTTTGTGGTCTAGAGCAGGGGTTCCCAAAGTTTTTAGCCCGCGACCCCCATCATAAATGCCCTGCTAACCCGCGACCCCCCCCCCCCCCCCCAACATCCCTTCCGTCACATGAAATGAGCATGTATTTCCTTGATACGGAGTAAGGCAGAGACTCGCGCCACTACCGAGCTGCACTGTCCAGCCCAAAAAAGGAGGCTTGCATATTTTTACTCATGTAGTGACACAGTGATGGGCTTGGTGGGCTCCTTCCTCAGCAGAAGTGGAGCGCATTTCTTGCGGCTCGCCCTCACTGTTCTCCTACCGCGGTAAAGTGGGCCGGCTTTCCGGAGTCAGCGGTAAAGAGGTCCGCACATTAAAAGCGGGCGGCTGCTTTCTGCTGTTACTTTATGCGGTTCATCCCCGCGGCTTCTCTTTCCAAAGTTACTGTCAGTAAAGGCATAAACCGGCCACCCGCTTTTAATGTGCGGACCTCTTTACCTTTGACTCCGAAAAGCCGGGCCTCTTTAACGCGCTGTTCTACCGCTGTCCTCCCTCCCTCCGCTGCCCTCTCTCCCTCCTCTGCCCTCTCTCCCTCCTCTGCCCTCTCTTCGCACCATCAGCCTGACCCCTGATACAAGTGACTTTTCTCCCCCTCCGGGTTTTTCTGTTGTGGATATTAACCACGTTTCATTTTAAAGCAGGTATTATTTATTTGTAGCCTCCAAACACCTTTAGTTTTAGCAAACAACAGCAGGACACGCTTTGCCGCTGCGCATGATGTGAGCTGTGTTACGTGATGATTTTGATTGACGCTGCAATGACTGGGACAAAATTACTAACGTTATTAAAATATATTATAGTCTCCAAACACAATTTAACAAGTAGTCCTTTTGAATCAAATGCTAAATAAATATTTAAGGGCTTTATATTTGCTCAAAAAAAAAAAAATCTTTTTTTTTGTTTGTGTAGAAATCATCTTGCGACCCCCCCAGGGGTTCCCGCGACCCCCCGGGGGGTCGGGACCCCCACTTTGGGAACCACTGGTCTAGAGGTGTCAGTTTTGCTTTTGACTCCACTAGTCGAGTCCTTATTTGAGTTCCACAGTTCCACCGCAAGTAGAGGACAGCACCATAAGAGTTTTCACTGCCATCCGAGAAAGTGATTGCGATGGGCTCAGTTGACGCATCTGGTGGAGTGAGGGCTCTTGGAAATGTGATTCCACTCAGTTGGACATATTCTTTGAATAAATGTATTGCGTCTTGACGCAGGTCGTCAGATAGAGCCAAATCCCATGTGTCTTTGACAGTGCTGTTTTTGGGCTTTGCCTCTTGGAATGCTCTACGAACTAAGATGGCCCCCTTCTGCTTTGCTGGTGTTGTCAAGCCGATCGGATCATATAACCCAGCAACCTGGCTCAGCAACTCGCGTCTTGTCAATGGGTTTGGTGTCTGTGCCATCACTTCATCCAGTAGAAGACCCATGGTTTGAGTGCAAAACCTCCTGCCTTCAAAATCTGTTCCACGTTTTCTGTTACGGTTTTGAGTCTTTCCTTGCAGTTGTGTGACGTTGGGATGTCATCGACGTAACTGTGTTCTTGCAACACTCTTTGCTTATCTTTCAGGTGGCTGAACTGCGGTAGTTTGGACGTCTCCCTCATACAGTAGAAACAATCGCTTAAGGCCGTCCTGCACACTTAAACACTTCGTTCTTTTTCCCACTCACTGTAAACTACAGACTTAAAACATGGATTTCAAAAGGCTCTGACTTGTACATTTGCATTGTAACAACATAAATAACATTTTAATTAGAGTATTCAAAGTTTTCTTAATATTTAAAACCCGAAATCAGGTAGGAGTGTAAAACGTGCACCACTCCTCAGCGCTAGACAAAGACTGATGCGAGGCGCTGGCGCAGACTGATGGAGGCTGCTTCTGATTCTTTTATGGCGGGCTAAGAATCAATATTGCAGTATACTGGCCACCTAACTAATGGAGTGTTATACCTCCAATGCCTTTGGACCAATGTTACAGTTATTTATCATTTTTTGTTGAAGTTCGAAAATTAAAATAATGCTCTTCTTGATTAACCCCTCTCCCAAAATCAGAGCCCGTCCTAAGGGCTGTCGACTGTGCCGTCGTCGCACCAGGGCTCCTCGCACCACACAGGGGCCTGCAATCTTTATCCTTTATTTTATTTTTATAAAATACACTAGTTCAAGGTCCCCCAAAGGGCAGCTGGACTGCACTCATTGGAACCCTCTAACCCTTTCTCAGGACCCTCTTTGATTTCGTTTGATCAAAAAGAACATTTTTACAAGTTAAAGTCAAATTTTCCACCAAAGCGATTTTGTAAACAGGCAGGCCGCGGGCGAGGCTATTGTATGCAAACGGGTCCTCCGAAAAACTGTCAGATAACTTAAGCAGTGTCTGAGTGAAGATAAAAGAAGTAACGGAATGATTGCCAGTGTAGGACGAGACTGGTACTCGCGGAGGAGGAGCGTGAGACAGGTGTGGGCAGAGGAGCAGACCCCTTTGTGTGAGCAGAGGAGCGAGGAGGAGGAGGAGGAGGAGGAGCAGTTGATACAGGTAGTGTGAGCAGCAGGAGCCAGACCCTTTGTGGTGAGCAGAGGAGGAGGAAGGAGGAGGAGGAGGAGAGCAGTGATAACAGGTGTGAGCAGAGGAGCAGACCCTTTGTCGTGAGCAGAGGAGAGGAGGAGGTTCAGCGGTTGTGGACAGGTGTAGTGAGCGCTGCATATTGCCAATGTTTAGTCGAATATCACATCAAAAACATATTTTTTAAAAGCATTAGCAAACACACTGTATGTCTAGCTTTAAGCCTAGCTGGAGTTGTTTATGTTGTGGACAGAGTGTGTGGATGGAGGAGGTGAAGAGTATTTTGTTGTTGTCAGTGTTTGGAGGAGGCGGAGTGTATGTTGTCAGAGTGTGTGGAGGCATGGCAAAACAACGTTATTTGATGAGAAAAATACTAATATTGATCCGGCATAGCCATTTTGGCGCATTTTGCCCCAAATCTAACTA